ATCACGTCGAATCGAGCTGCTCGGGTATTGTTCATGTACCTGGGAGTACTCGGAATCTTGGGATAGGGCCTAGGGCTTGCGTTCGATATGTTGAAGGGTTCCAGAGAAGGTGCCCAATGTGGCCGTAGTGCAGCTGGGGCGCAACCAGTGTATGTATATTCTGATCTATAGCCTGATCATTGTGACTCTGGTGCTTTTGCCCCAGCTTGTTTGACGTAGTGCTGAGCTGAGCCGAGAGACCTCGTCTTGGAGACTTATTCAGTTGTATTTTGTTTGTCTTTTTGCGGCTACTTCTCTCGGAGTGCACCTTGAAGCTTTTTGGTGTTGCCTGAGGTCTTCGGTGTTGACTTCTCGGGAGCTTTGACTGTGAAGGACAGGGGGATCTTGCAGCACTTGCAGCTGAAAAACCCCAAACTGACCTTGCAATGCAGGGGTGATGAGATCGATGTGTGCTTGTCAAAAGGATCTGGTCTTGCGAGCCTGGAGTCTCTCATAATAAACCCTGGGCGGTTTATTTTTTCCCGGAGGACAACCAAGACCCCGTTCACGGATGCGAGTGCTCGTTCTCCCCGCCACTGCTGCCCTGGGAGCCGGGAGCCAAGTCTTGGGAGTTCGAAGGTTGGGTGGTTTGGGGTTCAGGGGGTCTGGACATTTCCGCACATGCGACTTTTTGATGATTGCTACAGGAAGCATCAGGATGCTTGCGCTGTGTCGCGGGGGAATGGGGAAATGGTTTCGGAATGCGGGACGGCGTGTCGTGCGCAATCCAGGTTTGCTCTCGTCGTGCAGCCTTCTTGCTATTGGCTTGTGTTATTTTCATAGTTTTAATCTTGCTCCAGCACGGTGCGTCTACTTGTATCGAGACTATGTGTCGGTGCTTTTTCCTGAAAGCGAAGGCAGGTGTTAATCACAGTTCGATTGGTGCTGGAATTTGACTCGTCCAGCAAGGGTGGCTCCTCGTCGACTCGGCAGTTTATCATCACGTCCTTCCTCACCCCCCTTGCTTTGGAAGTAGATCGATCCACTATCAGCACCTGCGCCCGCATGCAAGGACCATGCACGTGGTGGAATGGCGTATAACAGGCACATGAGTGCAGGGCAGCTGCAGCCATGCGATCGTGCCTCTTGTTCTTCTTGTTGTGCAGGCCAGAACAGAGCCACATTCCGTGATATGAGTGCCCTCAAATGGACCATGCAGAGAAAGCCTTTGGTGGTACTGCGTGCGATCTATCACTGTGTCTCTGCGGCAGTCGGCAAGCAGAAACGTAAGCGACTTATGTAGTGTCATGCAATGCAAACTGTGATGTACTGTGGTGCAATGTAATGTGATACCCTCCGCTCTTTTGGCTCTGGGCAGGCCTGCAGTACAGCGGCTTCAGCAGGGGCGTTCCCGCCGGAGCCTTGCGCATTCCCTGATTGCTGTTAAGCCTCCATCGGCCACGGCCACAGCCCTGTCATGCGGACCTCAGGTGATGCATCACGGCCGGCCCATCGGCAGGAACCCCAGGTTCATGGAAGCAGGTGTTCGTGTGTTCTCGACCGAAGCCCAAGCGAAATCGACACACCAATTCTTCCATGATTGGTCAAGACTCGGGTGTACAGGGCTCTACATATGGCTTTTTGGGCTTGGCATTCGTGCCCCAGGAGGTACGAGTCTAACTGCATTGATCCCATTCGGTTTCTTATTCTTCGAGTCTATCACTAGGCACTCTCTCTCTCTCTCTCTCTCTCGTGATGAAGGGGGAGAGACCCGCCAACTCCAGGGGTTTGGGATGATCCTGGAGACACCACGCAAAGAAGAGAGTCGACAGGTTGACCGGGACTGAATTCAGGTTTCAGGGTCCCAGCAAGTGCAGGTTTGAGGGAAGGGAGTTGGGTTTTAAGAAAGAGGACACCGAAGCCACAGCCCGGGCAAGTTGGGTGATCGGAATTGAAACCGAGAGATTAAGCTCCAAATTCCCCTGTGCATTCACGAACAATGTTTACCTAGATGCTGGCACCTTCATCACCTCGCCGCCATTTCGAGCAGCTGGGGTCCACCTCTCAGAACTTTTACAGTAGGGTTTTTTGATGGTGCGGTCTGTGTCTCCGAGTTGGACTTTGGCATTCAAGGATTCAGAGGCCTACCGGATTTGGCTTCTTATCTTTCACTTGAAGCACCTGCGGGGATTCCAGAAGGTACGTTTGACGATGCAGCTGAAGCAGAGGTTTCCGACGACGGAAATCATGATGATGATGATGCTGATGAGGATGACAATGATAATAGTGATCGTATGATATAATCATCCGTCAGAAGGTCCGAAGGTGATTGTACGGGCCACAAGGCCGCAGTGCCACGAAGGGTTCGGCGCCCACGGGACTAAACGTGCCGGTCTCTGAACGGCAGCTTCAGAGTCGACGAGGAGTGGTTCCACCCCCTGATTATGAAGATGAGAAGAGAATTCTGCAGAAGGCCATGACACAGCAACCCCCAAAAGGAGCCCTTCAAGGCAGAGTCTTAGGGCCCTGGCAAGGGGAGAGGGCCCTGAATTGTATGAAGCCGTAGGCCAGTAAGGGAGTGCCAGGTCACCGGCTTCCTCAGATTTTGGCCCGCGGCGCTGCCTCGCTTGTACTTCGGAGCTTCCGGGTTTTGGAGGGTTTGGGACTGTGGGACGAGGTTGGCGTTTCTCAAGAGTAGGGGCCACCAAGCAAGGACAGGCGCAGTGCTTGGCACCGTGCTTCGCGGTTTTGATTCGGGATTTGTGCTGGCTGTGGGAATCATGAAGCCATGCGCTGACACACCGTTGGATGGAGGCGGCAGAGATGTGGTCTTGCACTGTCGGAGTGTACGGAGTGTTTCGCTTTTTGGTGGTCCTTATAAACAGGATCCTGGTAGTTAGCAGTTTTTGATCGTGCCAATTACTTTCAGACACTCCCATATGGGAGTTGGGGATGTGCATATATTGACGAAGAGTATACTCATGATGCTCTTTCGAATCTAAGTCAGAACGAATCTAGCACCATTGCACTTGTCACTAGTGCTGATGAAACTGCTACGCCGGATGCGCAATCTGAAACCAGCCTCCCCCTCCTCATCAGAGTGCACATTTTCCCAACGGGCAGGATGGTAACCCAGGCCTTAAAGCCGCAGATGCTTCAGTTGAGTTTTGGAGCCCCTGACTGGTTTCTCAACCCAAAAAAAGGAAGCCCTGTCTCAGCTCTCCGCTCCTCCGGCATCGCCTTTTGCTTGGGGCAGGCTGGCTACTGGACCGCCTGCCAGAAGCGGAAGAAGAAGGCCGTCATCAACTTCCTGATTGTGCCTTGGCATGGCGTAGGTTGGTGTGTGTTGCTCCACCAACGCTCTGAACAGCCAAAGAATCTTGTCAATACGTGATTTCTAGCTATCTGGCTGTTTGGCTTGCCCGGACCTCCGCTAGATCACTGAGTCCCCTGATCTTGTGAAAGCTGAGGACAAAGAGAGGCCGGGGGATCCCTGCCCCTTCGGCAGCATGTTCAAGGGTTCAAGGATTCAGCCTGTGAATGTTAATCATCTGATGCCTGTCCCAGCGTATAGAAGTCTTGTTCTACATGTCTACACAATGGTACAGCCATGCTTTCCTTTATCCCATTATCTTCTACTGTATTTACACCACCAACAACAACTTCAGCGCCGAGGTCCCATCCCTCCTCCAAACACCTGGTGCTGCGTTAGCTGCCGGGTTCCGCCAGGCCAATCCTTTCGGTCTACGGAAGGGTTTAGGGATGTTGAGGATATCTGTGAAGTTCAGCCTGGGCTTAGAGTTTGGGTGGTTTAGGGTTTCGGGTGAAATGTTTTGTGCTTGTTTCAGCTGATCGGGTTTCGGCATCTTCGTGTTCAAGAGAATGGTTCCGGGATCTCTTAAGACCTTGATTCTCGACAGTCCCTGCAGCCCTCAGCCAGGCTCCAACCTCCACCTTCGGTACTATGTGCGGAGCCCGAGACACTGAAAACATGCGCTGCTTGACGAGGGAGGTCGCTGCAGCAGTCACCTGCTGATCCAGGGCTCCTTCGTAACTGAACCCTGGACCCTCAATCCCAAACCCTCTGTAGCTTCGTCTTTGCTAGGTAGGAGGGAAAAAACCCTCTATAGTCGGAGGGAAAACACCCCAGAGTGAACATAGTGAACTAACACTCGAAAACCCTTTAGAACTTCAGCAGCTTCCATTGCGTTCCGTGTTTTGAGGTGGGCCACCAGAAGTCCAAGGACCGTGAGTCGAAGGCTTAGAGATCTCCTTTGCTTGTGAGCTCTTTGGGCTTTGAAAGGGGTTCTATGTAACACAATGTTATATATACGTATATACACATATGTACACACACACACACACACATATATATATATATATATATATATATATATATATATGGGTTTGCGCGGGATGGTGCAGGGTTTGAGATTTATCGGTTTAGGATGAACAGCTACAGTAATGGTGCTATTAGCATTAGCTGGTCGCTATCGCGTCATTTTGAACACGATCAGTACCATTGGCGATTTGGTCGGCCGGCCGGATTGCAACTTGTTAATGGTGATGTTCGAAAAGCATTATCAAGCTCTCCTAGATTTCGGGCCATCTGAACCTTTTCTTCAAAACCACGGTCGTTGTACCTTTCGAACAGAGCCTTGCAAGTGAATAAGGAATTCGCTGCTCAGATGAGGCCTAGGTTTACGACAGTTTCCGGGTTTTGGAAGAGTTCTTGAATTTAAGATTTAGATGGTCGGAGGGCCAACATGCGATCTAGCACCCGGAGCTTCGAACCGAGGACCCAAGACTAGCCCTGAAGCTCTTCTGATCAGAGTCTACGCCTACGTATGCGTTGGAGGTTCGAGGCCTTCCTAGGCTTCCCGGGAACTAAAAGCCTCACGAAACGACTGGTGAGCCCACTTGCTGTTGAGCCCAGAATACTTTGTCCTTTGGGCTCAAGCTCTAAGCAGAGTGCTCCAAAAGCGTAGAAGGAGACGCCACGTGCTCTGACCTTGGAAGCCATGGCCGGGCTTGAGCAAGAGATCTATGACGTGGAGTCAGAGACGCAGAGCATGCTAAGAGAGGAGCGGAGAGAGAAGAGATCCCGGCCGCTGGTTGCAGGGGGGTCCGTGGGGTTGCTGGTCCTCGCAGTGGCCGGCGTGATGGTGCTCTACAACCATCGGCCGAACTTGCACAAGTCAAGCGAGCAGGTCGTAGAGTTTTCCGAGCTCTCAGGAACCGACGTGTGGTCCGATGTGCTGTCCCCAAGTGCCATGAGGCAGTATGAGCAGGGAAAGAAGATGGCTGCAGAGGCTTACAAGGGAGCGGATTCCGTGGTCTCTGTGGCCAACGAGGCCGCGGGCGAGGTCAAGGAGGCTAGTGAGAAGGCTTTCACTACTTTCCAGGCCGGTGCGCAACAGGCCGCTTCCTCAGTAAAGGACGCGCAGACGCAGGCGTTCGACAGTTTCCAGGCCGGTGCACAACAGGCCGCTACTTCAGTAAAGGACGCGCAGACGAAGGCATTCAACACTTTCCAGGCCGGTGCGCAGCAGGCCGCTTCCGCAGCAAAGGATGCGCAGACCGAGGCGAAAGAGACTCTGAAAGAGGCCGCAAATGCCCAAAAGATGATGGAGAAACTAGGCCTTGTTGGGGACAAAGCTGCGGTCGAAGCGAAGGATCTCGACAGCAAAGGCCAGAGCCTCGGCTCGAGCATCCAGCAGGCAATGGCTGCTGCCCCTGCCAGCATCCCTGCCCTTGCAGCCGTGGCCACCGGTGGCACCGTCCCGCCACCCGTTACCCAGAAGCCCACGGACTCTCCTTCCGAGTCCGCTCTCGCTCCGCAGCTCGCTGGACATGACAAAGACCCCTGCTCAAACGATGAGGAGTATGTTGGGGGACTTTGTTACGCCAAGTGTGCCACATTGACAGGAGGCTCCCATCCCTGCCGAAGCTCTGCATGGAGCTGCTGCGCAGTTGAAGCCGGCCCAAATTGCGGGGAAAAGGCTGCCATGGAGAGCTGTTGGGTGCACCCCGGATTTTGCTTCGGCTATGCCATCGCGGGCCAAGCGGAGGCGAAGCAACAGGGTTCGAATTGCCCCACATCCCTGGGCGCTTGCCTCACCGACGAAGAGTTGTTCATGAACGTATGCTACAAGAAGTGCTCCGCCGTCACCGGCGGAAGCCACATTTATCGTGTGGGTGCTGCCACATGCTGCAACAAACAGTCCCACTTCGAATGTCTGTGGCCCGGCAACCTCAAGACCGACCCCACCTACAACATGGGCGGTGGGGCCGGCGACCACAACTCGGGCACTCCCAGCGAGTCGCACGCGCCGCTGAAGTCCCTTGCAACGAGTGAGTAGAGGATGCGTTACGTTCTCCGGCGGTCGCTTTCAGGAATGGTTTCACCCGGGACGCGTGCAGTAGACCTCGCTTCCAGGGACTCCACACCCAAAGCCCAGCACTCATATGGAATTCCCATTTATATATACATTAAATCAATCCTTGGATTCGGCTCGGTGCCCCGCAGACGGCGGCGTGCCGGCAGTCGGAGCTTGCCGAGAATCCTGGATCCCGGCGAGATCTGCCCCGACGGTTGCGATCCCGGGCCCGCCCCTCTTTTGATCTATAGGTCCAGATCCGGGGGCGGGGGGTTCCATAAAGGTCATACCGTATAAGTATACTACATAGGAGTTACTGTAACGGTTTCTATAAGGATTCAAAAATTCAGAAGTAACAGAAACTGAGACCTAGAATAGTGAGGGTTCAAGTTTGCTGGTATCTGTGTTGAGGTACTTGTGTTGAGATGGCCAGGCCGAAACTTTTTGGACATCTGCGTGTCATATTATGAACTATCCATTATATGTTACACATTACTTGATAGGTATATGTTGTCTGTTATATGTTCTCGGGTATATGCAAATATATGTATATATACATATATATATATATATATGTATGTATGTATGTATGTATGTATATATATATATATATATATATATATAAATATGCATATATAAACATGTACATATATATTTATATGCATAAGTAAGTCACAAAACACACACTTATATATATATATATATATATATATATATATATATATATACTTATTTCTATATGTGGGTGTGTGTGCGTGCGGGTATGTATGTATATATATATATATATCTATGTATATATATATATATATATATATACTTACACATGCAGATGTACAAACATATGTACCCACATGATGATGTGTCTGTGTGTGTGTGTTTCGATTTGATGCGCTCTGCATGTAATTTGCCCTTCGGACGATGCTGCGGAGCGGCAGTGCCACATGAGCAACGGCCGGCGTGAGAGATGCGAGACAGGATGTAGTTTATTGTTATGGTACAAGTATTAAAGTTGTGTAAGACAAAATCTGAGGCATCGAACCAGGCCCGGCCGTTGCCGCTTTTCACCGGAGTTCGGCAGCTCTTTCTGCTTAAGCGCACAGATCCAAAACCTGAACCCTGAACCCTATAGTATAGGGGCCGGAGTTCCTTCGAGGATCCAAGAAGTCTAGGGAACTTTAGGGCACGTCTTGAAAGTCTCGATTCCTACGAAGCGCTTTCTTACAGCCATTGGGCACGAGCAGCTGAGCACTCCGGAGGTCCTTGGAAACTCTTAGTGGGTGGGGGGAGGGTTGGGAGTTAGGGGCTTAGTGAGTTTGCAGGTTTAGAGATGTGGGGTTTGGGGGCCTCTTGTTTGGGCCTTTCGACGCCAGAGTGACTTCTGTCACTTGCAGAGTTCCAATGCGAACGACAGAATCAAAAGAATCATTTGCGGCTGATCGCGCTCACACCGCAAGGGGAGGCTGGGACATCTGTATACACAGGTATTCGTATACAAGCCTGTGCTATCTTACCTCACGCCAGATCATGACGGACAGCATCGCGTTGTCCGAGTTAGACGTTACACAACATAGCAAATTTTGCGATGTATTCATGCACGCTGTTCATGGTTTTATTGTTATTCGATTTATTCGCGCATGCAGTAATTCTGTCATGTGTTGATGTGTAAGTATATCTGATAATGTAGTTGCGTAGTCAAACTATGTCGAAGTTTCCGAGGTGCTAGTTTCCGAAAATAGGGGAACACTAATATAGTAATTTAAATAGACTGATCCCATTATAATGATCTCCAAATAAGGTCTTCGGAAACTCCCAGGTGCTACTGGAGCATGGGATCGGAGGCCGCGTCCTTGTGGGTCGCGGGCTCAGGACGCTTTTCTAGCAACACCTAGCCCTCATGTCTTCTGTTTGCCAAAGCCACGGCGGATTTACTGCCGCATGTCTTCTCGTGCTCATGCCGTGCTTGTTAATTATTGATCCGGTCTTTGCGCTGTGTGTGCTAGCTTTAGCTCTACAGATTATTGATTGTCTTTAAACATTGATATTGACACATTGCATTCTACCCCTGCTCGTGTGTATGATGGCCCCACCTGTCAATGTGACGGCATAGTTGCTGTCATCGCTGTTCTCTGGGCGCGCTTCACCATCCGTCACAATCTTCATGTGAAGGATCTTCAAATCCAGTCGGTTTCTCGGCCACCACCTGAGGCCCCAGAAGGAGAAAAGCCTCCTGACGAGGCCGGGAAGCCTGCACACTTCGGGAAGCCTCTCACGCCCCCGAAGCACCGAAGAACTGGAAGCCTTTGCAACGCCATGCTTCCGGACTCAGAAGTCTTCGTTGTTGAGGGGTCTTTCGAGTTTGGGGTACAGTGCACGTAGGAGACTTTGTGTTGTTTTTGACTTCCAATCGTGCTTTCGGCGAATGGCACTCCCCATCCGTGCCCAAACCCCCAAACCTAGGGCAAGGATCTACGATTCCGCGTTTAGACCAGGATTACAGAGGGTTTTACACTTGACCCTTCCGTAAAGGTCTGAAGCAAGTTTAGGGAAGGCTTTCATTGAGCCCGAGCTCTCTCGGAGGTTCTGCACATGAAGCCAGAGGACCCGAGAGTCGATACTGCACCGCAGAGCTGCGATCGGTGTCGAGTTTCGGTGGGATCCTGGAGGTTTGGGCATAGATGGGAGGGCAGCCAAACCACGAATAGACTAAAATAGTGTACTTCATCGCAGTAAGAGCAAATCCCAGACTGAGTGATCCGGGCTGTGACTGTGGGTCGAACCTGCAAGGTGAGACAACTCAGGGACAGCAGGCAGAACCGGAGAGACCGCAGGTAAAAGTCCAGCGATGGCCTTCAATAACAGAGCCCATACAAGACTCTGAGATCACCAGGGAGCAGGATCTCGCTTCGAAGCATACTGGGAGACCCTCCATAGCCCTAAACCAAGCACACAGGACTACTTGACAGTTGGTGTGGAGATCTTCCGAAACAAAGGCCGGGAGCCGTTGGGGCATTGTGGTCCTTTGAGATGATGGCAGAGGTGACGAGACTTGTGAGCTGTTGACGACGAAAGGTTGTCTCAATAGCGCATATCGAGATGTGACACAAGCCTCGATCTCAGGCAGGGCAGCTATAGCCTAAACTTAAACCCCTCAGCCCGTCCGGAATTTTGAGCTTCCCAAGTGTGCAATGGGGTTGGGACACATCGCTCTGCAGGTGTTGTGCACGGTCGACCCGGCGTCATCAAGGTGCCAGAAGGCCGCGTCCAAAATGAGTTCGTGTTGGGCTTTGGGGTTGTGAGTCTCAATGCGGAAGGGTTTCCGGATGCACAGAAGTCTACAAAACTCTCTACACCCTCTAGGGCGAGCTGCAGTGCTGGAAGTCCAGTTTACCTCTAGTTGGCTTCCGTTCACGCACACTCCGTGGGAGTGATAGCCAGTGCAGCACTTGCGGTTTTCAGGGAGCGCAGGGTTCAACCAGAATAATGCACCATTCATCCATTTCACCGTTTTTATGGGAGGCTGCAATGGGCTTCAGGGCACTTCAAAATGGCTTGGATTCGAGGCGTCGAGCTGTAGTCCCGCTCGAAGCCGCGTGAAAAGCTAAAGCGTGTGAGCAATGATGTGGTCCGCGAATGTCAGCCTTCAATACTTCAAGAAGCCCTCCATCTTCCGTCCTTGAGCTTTCCGTTTGTCCTGTTGCTGTAACGAGTTGCGAGAGTCGAAACCCGTATGCCTGGAGCGAATGTGCGAGTCTTGTCCAGCTCATGTGTTGGCATTAATCGATCTGCTTCAATACTGCGTACTAGAATAATATAGGAACCTGATTCGAAAACCTTGGGCTTTATAAGGGCTCCTTATATGAACCCTGACTTGACATGTCTAGTGTCGACAGACTGCGCAGCGAGACACCTCGTCTGGCTTGTTCGAGGTGTGACAGCGAAAAACCAGCCTCTGCACGCAGGTTCGCGCTTCCACGTGCGCCCCAAAATCACACAACAAGGCCCAAGCTCAGCTCCCTCGGTGGCGTCGGATGATAAATGTCTGAGGGTTCAAGGATGAAGCTTTAAGGTATAGGGTTGGTTGTGGGAGTCCGAACAGAACAGGGGGCGTCATGTCTGTACTCGAGTTGATGTCCTAAAGGTTTAATCAAACTCCAAGGCCCAAACCCGCATGGGTTTCTCCATGTTGCTATTATAGTATAGACCCAGTGTAGACTAGGATTCAAAATTATCGCGACTTCAGGCAACGAGACTCCCGCCACACCGAAAGTTGTTTTTGGGTGCGTTCGCGGTAGGCAGGAATAGCAGCTGCTGCAGCAGTAGCAGCAGCAGTCCCAGTTTCAGCCGCAGTCTCATATGTCGTCGTCGTGTCGTCGTAGTCATCGTGATGTGATCGTCGTGTTGGTGGTGGGTAGAATCATACCCGTCGTATAAGTATTTGTGCCGTACTTGTAGAATATCAGCAGTACTGAAATAGATATCTGCCGTTCTTGTTCTTTAGCAGCGTTTTCTCTTTGTGGAGTACACCGCCGTGCCAGAGCTATCTTCCGTTCTTCAGTTTCTTCCACTGCATCTGCACCTTACCGCTGCAACCAAATCTAAATCACCTACCCGGTCTTCGGAGGCTGCAACTCTGCGGGACGAGTAGGAAAACCATGATGAACCACAAGAACAGCAGCGAGAACAACTTCAGCACGAACATGCAGAAACGAGTAGCATCGATGTCCCTTCCGGTCTTCGGCAGGTCAGTTTTGGGTATCCTTGGCAATACCGCTCAGGCACGCCGGCACCCAAGACCTCGAAGATCCTCAACCGAAACATCAACGTCAGCGTCGGCAGCATTCCCAAGGCTGGAGCTTCGGGGGTTTTCCTCTTAGGGGGTTGGGGGGTTTGGGAGTTTAGGGTTTTCTTCAGCCTTCCTGATCGAGTCAGGGGCTTCGCTTGGAGTTTGCGGTTTCGCTGCGGTTTCGGGCATGGATTTCGGATGCGAAGCTGGAGATGTTTCATTCGGCGTCGTGATGCCGACTGATGAATACTGTGGCGCGGGCTCCTCGAAATACCTGCAGGTATAAGCAGAGCTGTTTCTGTCGACGACCGCACAACCTCTCATACTGTTACAACTTCAATGCTGCAGATAAGACTCTGGATGTACGCACAAAAATTTGCATGTGTGTACTCTATCGATTATTCCAAACTTTGGTCACCGAGTATTGAATGCAACTAATATGAAGTAATATATTATATAAGTGAGACAATCGTCAGAACTTGGTGTAACATATAACAGCATACTACCGCAGGACGAAAGTTCGCCATACAACATGAAGTTGAGAGATCATCACATGTTGACCCCTTTTCCCCCGTAGAATCCTAGCAGAACCCCGCAAAGCTCTCCGCCGGAAACTATATAGTAGTATAAATTTATTCCCGGAAAGTAATTACTCCGCCACGCTGGCCACGTAAAATGGGTCTTAGGGCTCTCCGCCTCTCCGCGGCATACATGTATGTTATAAGCTGCATGTCGAAACTTTCGGCCCGGTGGTGATTTCCAAAACACATCCCCGATGCACAACTTGCGAGGCTAGGTGTATGGGATAAGTGCTCCTCCCATCGCTGCTAATGGCCAGGCAAGCATGCCGTTGAGTCCAGTGCAGCGAGCCAAGAGGGCTTTCGTGTCCATCCTGCTGACCCTGGCAACGGCCTACGGTCTGCATGTGGATGTCACACGAGAGTCTGGGGACGAGACGGTGCAAGCGACCTACCGCAAGGTCGCACGCTCCGTCCATCCGGACAAAGGTGGTTCTGACCAGGATGCGCAGCGGCTGAACACGGCTCGAGATGCATGGCAGGACGCTCGTCGCGCAGGGCAGCCTGCAGGCAGGCCCATGAGGAGGCCAGCTGCTGCTGCTGGTCCCCTGCACGCGAGCGCCCTGACGGAAAGTCGTCGTGCGTGTCGTGTTAATGCCACTGCCGTCCTCTTGACTTACCAGAGCTGGCCGTCTGGCGCCGGCAGTGCGACTTGGGAAGCCTTCTGCCGCTTCGTCAGTGAACACATAGCGGCGTGGGCCGTAAAGTACTGGACCGCGACGATGGAGGCCAACGCAGCCGGAAGCCACCACTTGCATCTGATGCTGCAATTCAACACGACCGTGGACGTCCCAGCCAGCCGCTTCATCTTTGACGGCCGGCGGCCCAATGTAAGCTCGCACGATTACCTGGGCGAGGGCCTCTGCAAAAAGAAGCTGCAGCAATCGATAGACCGGGGCATGTTTTATGTGTGGGCCAACAAATGCGGTACGGCCCAGCTGCCAGACGGTCGCCTTTGTGTTGCCTGCAACTACGCCCCGTGTTGGACGGCAGCGCCGCAGACCTACCAGGTACTGGGCAAATGGCCGGAGACCTTGTGGAAACAACGCAAGCTGGAGACTGCGCAGTACGAAGAGTACCTGTTCCTGACTCGCGATGGTGTCTTGGCTCGCAAGCGAAACCTGGATGCAGTCAAGGAGCACGAAGCCGCGGTCGCAGAGGCCAAAGTGATGGAGTCCAACAAGCGTCGCTTGAGGAGCAACCCGGAAGTGTACCGGAGCTTCCCCGTTGTTCCTCTTGCCCAAGACTGGCTGGCCACCTTCCAAGAGGATCGTTTGCGGTACCCGTTGCTCGTGGTCTTGGGTGCGTCGCACACAGGAAAGACCGAGTGGGCCTCTGCGGCTGTGGAGAAGTTCCTCATCCGCCGCCTGCTCGCCTTGCGCATGGTGTCTGCTTGCACGGCTGCGACACTGCGCAGAGAGGTGCTCAGTGCCAAGCAGGTGGACCTGGACGAGTCCACAGTGCGAAAAGTCCTGCGAAAGCATGGATACCATTGGCTCCCTCGCGCACAGAAGCGGAAGTACACCGCCAAACACAAGCTGGAACGCCTACGCTTTGCGCAAGCCGTCTTGCGCTTGACGAAGGCGCAGCTCCGCGAGAAGCTGTCCTTCGCCATGGACGGCGTCATTCTCTCCGTGCCACCCAAGAACGCAACGGACCGTCACAACTACATCGCCCAAGGCGAAACACACATGTGGCGGCGACGTGGGGAGGCTTACACCGAGGGCTTGGCTGGGCAGACTCCTTACCTGCAGCAGGTTCCCTTGGATCGTGTCCTACCACTCTGGGGTGGACTGTCTGCAGGTGGCTTTGCTATCGTGACATGCCACGCCACTCGCAAGCTCAGCGCTGCAGAGTGGTGTCGCATCGTGCGCGCTGGTCGCCTGAGGCGGGCCATCCAAGCCCTGGGTCCGATGAAGAAGCATGGTCCATGGAAGGTCCTATGCGACAACGAGAAGTTTCTTGACACCGCTGCATCGCGCAGTGCGATGGCAGTGGAAGGAATTTCTGCGTGGCGCATGCCTGCCTCATCTCCTGACCTCAACCCTGTTGAGAAGATGTGGGCATGGTTGCGCAGACGCATCCGGCAGAAGGACCGTGAAGATCTAAGGAAGCGGCGGCCGCCAATAGGGAAGACAGCGTTCCAAGCGCGGGTGCGGAACATCCTGGCGTCCAAGACAGCCCAGGATGTGGCAGCACGCATTGCCGGCGGTTTTCGAAGAACCTGCCAGGATGTCGTTGCGCGCAAGGGCGGCATGGCTAAAGCCTAATTAGTCCATCCTGTCTCCGCTTTTTCTCGCGCAGACCAGGACTGCAACACCCGGAATGCCCGCTACCGCAGGACGAAAGTTCGCCATACAACATGAAGTTGAGAGATCATCACATGTTGACCCCTTTTCCCCCGTAGAATCCTAGCAGAACCCCGCAAAGCTCTCCGCCGGAAACTATATAGTAGTATAAATTTATTCCCGGAAAGTAATTACTCCGCCACGCTGGCCACGTAAAATGGGTCTTAGGGCTCTCCGCCTCTCCGCGGCATACATGTATGTTATAAGCTGCATGTCGAAACTTTCGGCCCGGTGGTGTAGTTCTACTTTATTCAATAATGCAATACAAAATGACGTAACGCAGGGCGACTCGTGCAACATTATACCGTGCAATAGAATGTAATACACAGCAATTAATTAATGTATATGTCAGATATTTAAACACAAAGGAGGCAATATATCGTAACCTGTGCAATGCTATACCATGTGCTATAGCGCATCTAGTATGATGTAAGGTAATGTAGCACTGTGCGAAATCATGTTGTATGATATAGTGATCTAGTGTATTTAACCTGTCTATCTATCTAATATCAAAGCTGGCTGACTTCCTGGTGTTCCGTTGTTCAGGTGCACAGCATGCCGTCCTTGAACCAAAAGCTCAATAAGACCAAGTCCCTGCTGCATGCCGCTTCGGTGTGGGAGTCTCGGGAATGCCCAGGTCGTCATTGCTGCTTCCAAGAATCAGGGCCGAGACAAGATTAGGGACCATCGCAGGCACCATAGCTATGAGCCCTCTGCAGCCATTTTACGGTGTACTGTGTACCCATCGCCGCCGCATGCCAATGCTTCTTCTTATTTGGATTATTGCTATGATGGCTATTGCTATTTGTAGCGGTCGTGGTGTAGTCAATTCTTAGTGGGTTAGGTATGGTAGTTGGAGGAGCAGAAACAGCAGCAGCAGCAGAACATGCTGTCGTCGTGGTTGTGGTCGTGTGGTGGTGTCGTCGTTTTTGCTGTCTTCGTGCTGGTGGCGGCGGCCACCAGCTAAGGTGCTACGAGTTCGCAGGAAGCAAGATCATCAACACATCCAGAAAATTGCAGAACACCCAACCCCTCAAAGCGGATTAGCTCATTGATTGTAATATTCTGAGCAAGGTCCAATCTCCACACTTCGAAGCTGTGCTGAGCATGCTTCGTCGATGTAGGGACACTCACGGTGTCAGGATTTTCGTGTTAAAGCTTCTACCATAGGTGATGTTTTACTACTGCAGCACTCTCGAACCGATGGCAATTGGGTCAAGCCTTGCGTGAACGAACACGACTCACCCCTCGCGTTTCACACCCAGCGGCTCACTTCCCTCAAAGAGGGCGGAGGTGCAAATGCCGGGATCGCAAAGAGACGCTGCCCTTAGGCTCGCTTCCAGATGTAGGTGTGTGCATGTGTGTGTGTGTGTGTGTGTCAGCGTGTGCACGAGTGCGGGGGATGGAGCTTCATACATGGATCCTTGCTTTTGCAGCTAGCGCACTTTCGCTTCTACCTTCATGCAATCTGGTGAGAGAGAATGCAGAATTGAGGGACGAGCGGGAGCACTTTGAAATGAATCCGTCGCGAGCCTGCAGCCGCAAGGCCCAAGAAACACAGCCCTACGAAGCTCCGCTGCACGCCGGGCATGTCTGCAACTTGCGAAGAAACCCTGGACCCTAGCTTACCGTCCTGCGCAGCACTCCACTCCTGGCATCGGTCCTCCAAAGCCTCAGGCAACTGAAAGCGCAAACGTCAAAGTCAGAGTCCGAGTCGAGAGCGTAACGTCCCAGAAGCCCTGTCAACCTCAGCGCCATGGAACCCCCGCACAGTTCTGCACTGGGCCAAAGATAGGTGCAGCTGAGTGTCGCTTGTGTGAGGGGATTCCGGGGTTTGTGGTCTGTTGAGAGCAGCAACAGCACTGGCTGTCAAGTTCGCTGTTGACTGCGCCAGTGGTGCTGAGGGTGAGGGTGGACGGTGGCTTTGGGTGTGGATGGTGCGTGGTGATAGCGGTGTAGGCGGTGCTGCGCGTTGTCGTCGTCGGTGTCCTCCTTGCGGTTGCAGCAGGCGCCCAAACGAAACAGTCCAAGGCACGTGCAAAATTCTGCTGGATATGCCCATGATGCGCTTAACGGTACAGTACGACGGGCGTACACATGCGTCAGTAGTAAGTACGTATACAAAGTAGTACGAAGTAGCAGCAAGGCGTAGTAAATTAGTAAATAGCAAAAAAAAGTAAACGGAAGTAATACTAGTCACAGCGAGTCGTCGTAAGTCGTAGCAAGTTGTGGTACGGAGTAGTAAGTAGAAGCGACATTAGCGTGGTGGTCGTCATGGCCTGTATAGAGAGAGAGTGAGAGAGAGAGAGAGAGAGAGAGGCCCCTCATGCCCTGCAGAAGGAAGAGAGAGAGAGAGAGAGAGAGAGAGAGAGAGCGAGCGAGAGAGAACAGACCGAAGTACCTCAAGCAGTGGAAGCCATGTCTACAGGTCTGCGATCCCTGGAACCACCATTTAGTCTGTAGAAATTGGATACCAACCTGCCTACCAGGGCGACACAAGCCTCTTGACACACTCGTCCAAAGCCCCAACCAAACAAGAGGAGACCCTAGTGGCCGAGGGGTTTCGAACGCCCCTCATGCCCGGCAGAAGGGCCTGCGGGTCGCTAGACGACCCCTACGCCCGGAAGAAAGAAAGAGAGAGACGTCAATGTGAAGCGGCAGCAGGAGTTGGGGAAGGAAGAGTAGGACGAGGACGAGCAGGAGGAGGAGGAGGAGGAGGAGGAGGAGGAGGAGGAGCCGCAGCAGCACAGAAGCCCTTGCCACTGTGGTCACAAGACTTATCCTAACTTGTGAGAGCAAGATGCCAAAGTTTGCATGCCTAAAACCCCTTACCCCCGAACACCGTTGTGTATCTCAGTCTCATTCCCACTAGCTTCGTTTCAGTCAACAGACTCCGAACCACATGCCTCGACTGGATTTCCCGAGTGTGAGCGCCGCAACCGTAGCCTGAACCCCTAAACCCCAAAGGCAGCCAGTGGGTTGGTATGACCTAGCAGTAGAGTAGGCAACCTTAACCTTTTTTGGGTAGTATAGTCCCTATAAAAATCCCTATATACCCAAAATGGTTAACCTTTGGTTCCCCATGATACCCGACAAGTAGGATGAGATGTCCGGTCAACAGGTCTTCGAGCGAGGAGGAGCCGCGTCTCGGGTGGCAGATGCAGGACAGGTTCGAGGTAATGTAGGGGCCTTAATAATTACCACCATAATATCGGAGCCTTAATAATTACCTATACTAGTACTATTTCGGGGCTCCTTACTATAGTTCTAGTAGAATGGGCCCCAAAATCCTAGTCTAATTATTAAGGCCCCTAAAAAGTACTGTGAAAACGAAGCCGGTACCATTGCAAGTTCCTGCGTAGTAGCGATTGAAAGCAAGTCTGACTGGCACTTCTTTGCAGGGCTATGCCTCTCAAGAAGATGCAGAGACCAAGCCGGATGTGTGGCCCTTACCAGCTCGTTCGCGTGCAAACTCCCGGCAAAGCTTCTGCTCCAGTGCAACACGACTCGACTCTTTGAAACCCCGTACAGATTTGAGGTTTCGGTTCCGATGAATTTTCAGAAATCCTTGACTTTGCCGCCAGCTCTTACAGTCAAAGCCTTGAGAACCTCGTTAAACCCTGAAGGCCCCGTATGCGTGTGGTGCCCCAGGCTCTACTTGGGCAGATGGAAGCCATCGTTCAGGCAATCTTGCCTGAGATTCAGTTCCCTGCCTCTTTGTCTTGTTGCTTGACGCGGGCTGACGCAATCTCTAGGACTCTAGGACCTGCTCGTGATTTGACCGCAGGCGAATGCTCAGACCTGTGACGCATCACGCGTGCGTACAGATGCACTCAAAAACACGGCATGTGGCCACAGCCAGACTCGACTCAGAAGCAGGCTGATTCAAGCTAATAGGCTCGTGGGCTTTACCGGATCCGGTCTCACCCGGTGGTTGGGATGACTCGAAATGGCGAACGAGAGCGCGAACGAGGATCACTTGGACACCAGAGCTTGTCCTTCTGGCTTTTACCGAGCCTCTCACATCGTGTTCAGCTGTCTTGGTGGCCACGGACGAGCTCGCTTCTACCACATGCCAGGCGCATGAAGCGACATGGGTTCCTGTTACTTGAACACTACGGCTCCTGCTCTGACTGCAGTACTGTGGTGGTAGTCGTGGTCGTCTCGTTGTAGTAGTGGGTAGTAGTTGTGGTTGTCGCTGGTGATGGAAGTAGTCGTAATAGTAGTAGTATTAGTAGTAGTAGTAGTAGTAGTAGTAGTAGTAGTAGTAGTAGTAGTAGTAGTAGTAGTAGTAGTAGAACTAGTAGTACTAGTAGTACTAGTAGTACTAGTAGTACTAGTAGTACTAGTAGTACTAGTAGTACTAGTAGTACTAGTAGTACTAGTAGTACTAGTAGTACTAGTAGTACTAGTAGTACTAGTAGTTCTAGTAGTTCTAGTAGTACTAGTAGTACTAGTAGTACTAGTAGTATTAGTAGTAGCAGCAGCAGCAGTAGCAGTAGCAGTAGAAGAAATAAAGGTTGTAGCAGCAGTAGTAGCAAGCAGCAATACTGCTTCTACTGTGGCTGCTGCTGCTGCGACGCGACGGGTGGGACGACGACGACTAACGCGGTCTCCAGGTTCTTCCGTGTTAGTTGTCCAGCTTTCTTTGCGGTAGCTGAAGCTTTCTTGTCTTGGGTTGAAGCTGCCTTGGTCAGGTCAGACTTTAGTGGTCAATGTACCACAAGGCCTGCAGGATCTCACGGTCCATGTCGAGCTGAACGGGTCTGCTACCGGCGTGGATGTTGACCTGGAGCTCTACGACCCGGGCCCGGATACTTTCCTGGTGAGCCACCAAGATGGAGTCGTGAACGACGAGAAGACCGAGGGCCAGTCGCGCGGCAATCGCTTCAAGCTTGATGGGTCAGCATGATATGGGAGTTTCGAAAATTAGGGGTACCTTACTTGGGAGTCCGTATAATAAGGATCCTACTATTTAGGCTGCTATATGAGAGTCCCCTATTGTCGGAAACTCCCATATGGCAACGATGCCCCGAAGAAGTGTTACCAGAGACACGCAAGTTCAGGCCCCCCAGAGATGAGTTTTTTTACTCGGTATGATGGGACAAGGGCCTGCACCAGCTTGCGTAGAAAGAAGGAAGCAAGAACAAAGGAAGGAAGAGATGGAAGCCATGGAGACTGAATGCATGATCTGGTTCGCCACTTCAAAATGGAACAAGCCCCACTCGTCAGTTCACCAGAGCTACGATTAGTGCCGGCAAAGCCCCGAAAGCCCAGGTTTGGCAATCTTGCCCTGGTATACAGCGGGGCAGCAGTTGCAGCAGAGTGGCTGGATGCCGTGCCCCCGGTTTTCGCTGCATTTATTATGCATCAGAGGTAGTTTGCTTTGGAGCATGCATGAGCTTAGCGGTAGCGAGCTTTGTTTGTGGGGACTTTCAGGGTTTTTGGATCTTGGTCAGAGGGCAAGTCCGGGGTCTGTGATGTACTGGTAGCGCAGATGTTTCAGGAGAGGCTCGCGGTTTTGGATCCTAAACTTTTTGTCGTGTTTGAGGGCAACGTCTGAGGCTTGGCTTGTAAAGCCCACAGCATCTGCAAGGCTTCGTAGTAGAATTATTTGGTGTGGCTGGAAGTTCGGCAAAAGTCCTCAGAAGGAAGCCATGCAGCTCGCCTCTTGAATTCCGCAAATACCTTCGTTCGGCCAGATCGCTGACGCAGCATCAGATTTGGTCTGAGCTATGATTAATTTGGTCGAGCCATGATGCCTCAGGTTTTCGGGTTAAGGGCACCATTCAGGCAGTCAAGTTGCATATTGACGGCTGGGCGCAAGTCAGAGGTAATGTCGGTAGCAGCGGAATGGCCGAACTCCTCGGAACCTTGGGGTGAAGTTGTAGCTGGGGACTTAGAACTCCCCCGCTTGTTGGCAAGGTCAAAGGCCGCTTTCCATCGGACATGCTGCTCATGATGCGCTGCAGGAGACTTGAGCCACAACTGCTGAAATGCGTAGTGTTGCTGCTGAGCATGATTAGCGCTCTGTGTCGGTTTTCTTCCCCTGACCTCTATCCTAAGTTATGATCTGGGTGGTGATGATGATGATGATGAAGGTGATGATGATGATGACATGGTGCGGAGTTCCTACAGATCTTACAATACCTCCCAGCTCCACTGACTTGAGACTTGCTGTTGGGGAGGGGTTTCGGGGTGCACAGCATGGGGCTCCGAGGTTGAGGCTTGTGAGCATCGGGGTGCAAAGTTTAGAGAGCTCACGGTCGGAGTCTGCAGGACCGAGATAGTTAGGGTCGCGAAGTAAACTGGAGCAAGGGCCTTCGGGCCAAGGCCAAGACTTCGGAAGCGCCTTTTGGTCCTTGAGGTTTCGACATGACGACCCGAGTCCATGAGAGAGAGAGGTTTCGGCTCAGAGCCGTGCGAGAGGGGCAAAAGTCCTGAGGAGAGTCCTTTCGGCGATTGGGCTTCCCGGAAGCTTAGGTTTCAGTTTCGGTGTGATCTGATCTTCCAAGGTCTGTGAACTTTCTATGAGCGACTATAGTTGGTAATTGCAACATCAGACTACAGAGCCCACAGATGCTTGAGCTACTCGAGGGCCTCCGATTCAGGGCGATGGACCGGTTAGAATCTTTTGAGAGCTGTAAGACCTCAAGCCTTGGAAGCCAAAAAAAGGGCCTTCATATTTCTATCAGGGGTTTAGGACATATCAATACACAGTAGCGGATTATGCGGGGATGCCAACTATGCAGACTTCTTCTTCTAAATCTGCAACCCACTGATCCAGGACTGGACCGCCTGGCTTCAGCGAGACAGTGCTCAGATACAGCGCATCGCCTCAACTTTTGGGACTCAGACTTCCTTACTACAGGGGCCTAAATAATTACGTACACCATTTTGGGGGTTCCCCAATCTAATTATAGTAGATTGGGCCCCAAAACCCTGGTCCTACATTGGGTTTAGGGTTTAGGGTGGGCTCCTGGCCTGGAAGTGCCAGGCTTCATCCACAAGCCTTGCATTTGGGCCTTTTTTTGGGAAGCCCGGCTTCCAAAAAATGGGTCGGGAAAAACTGTCCTTTGTAGTTTATAGGGTCCTCCCCTTCAAGAACAAGTGAAATTTGATAAAATCCCAAACATGCACCTTGAGCTATGCAAGGCGGTGAGCCTCAAGGCCTCTCCAACCTTTGAGCCCCAAACCTCCCACACTTGTCATTTATAGGGTTAAGGGGCTTTCTCAAAAGGGCTCTTTGGGAAGCACCCCTATCCTTAAGAAAGAACTTGCAGGAGGTCAAAAAGACCAAAGAGAGGCGCCAGGCCTGAAAGCAATGAGAAGCCGGAACCATTCCAGGCCAGGAACTAAACCATGCTTTAAGTTTAGACGGAGCCTTTAAGCTGCGAAGATTTTTGAGGAACTTCCATGACCTCGAACCCCTGGGTAGACACGAAGTTGCCATACAACACAGCCCTAAACCCCACAACGGGTCCAAGGCCACAGCGATATCAGCCCGTGCCCGGAGGCTGCAGCACAAAACGCCACAGCGGCGTTTTGCATTGAACAGGGGTACGAAGTAGAACTATAAGCCACGACATAGAAAAAGCATGAGGAGATCTACCTGGCATCTGATGGAGACAGATAAATCAACGGCCAAGGGGAGGCTTTTCAGCATGATGAACACGACAGCAGGGATAGTGCCAACTGTCACAACAGCCACAGCGTGCAAACCAACCGTGCCAATGGATGCTTTCATTCTCCCAGCACTTCGGGAGTTCAAGATCCGACAAGACTTTAGAGACATTCGGTTCTATCAGTGCTCGGCTACGAGGGCGGATCTTGTCAACCAGAATTTGGCCATGGCGGCTGAAGCCAGCTTCGGGTTTCCGGTTGAAGCAGCAGCAACTGTCAACAGGCTTGTCGCCTCGCGTACCGTGATTACGGTGGCGGTGGGGAGGGTGAGGGAGAAGATGGGAGCAGGGGCACGACGAAGAGAAGTGATGGATTCAGGCTCAGCTGCAGCCGCGGGAAGTGTCAAAATGCAGGTCAAATCAGCTGATTATGACAAACTCAGCATCTCAGTCGTGGCGACGAAGCAACAAGAGCAGCAGCGACAGCAGGAGCAATACAGGCAGCAACAGCAACGGCAGGGCGAACCACAATCAATAGTCCTCGGAAATGGATGCGATAAGGATGGCTAGAGTTAACACTACCATGACATTGCCCTAGTCGTCGCAATGTCGCTCACATGTGTCATTTGTGATTACATCACATGTCTACGAAAAAGCAACAATCACGAAACGAGTGGGCATTAACTACAGCATTGACCTCTATCACCGCCACCGCCACCACCACGATCGATCGTCGCGCCGCGCTGTCGTTCTTCCCAGACACAGTCATCAAACCATCGTAGTATGAGTGGCATAGCAACCGTGAGCGCGAAACCCCTAAGAGTAATGGGCCGCAATGCGGCTCTGTCCGTGCTAGGTAGGAGGCAAACAGGGGATACAACAAAATCCCTAAGATAGGGGCCTTAATAATTACCCATATTATCTTAGGGGTTCCTGATTCTAAGTATAGTACAATGGGCCCCAAAACCCCATTCTAACGTTTAAGGCCCTTTTATCATAGAACCCTACTATAGATCCCTTATAGAACCCTTTTAAGGATCCCTTTAAAGGGATGCCTAGTTTAATTCAGGGCCCTGTATTAAGAGCAGTGGCCGGCCGGAGGCGCCTCCGGGCTGTGAGGCTTTCAACGAGTCGAAGACCGCAGTCGACGTTGCAGCCTCCGAGCAAAGTTTAGGCAGCAAGCGAGCATATATATATATATATATATATATGCGCATATACGTATATGTATATATATATATATATACATTGTCACATAATTTATGCAGTGCACACACAAACACAAACGTACACATGTAGAGAATATTGCAGATAGGTAAATACATACATACATACATATGTAGGGGTGTATGCATGCATGTATAAATAAAGTATTAAGTGTGTGTGTATATATATATATATATGAATGAATATGATGTCGGTTTTGTTGATACGGCTGCTCTAGCTGCCAGCGTGTGTGAGACGTCCGAGCTTGTTTTGCGGGAAGGATCTGATACGTGCATGCAGGAACGGAATTTTGCAGCAGGCTGCAGCAGATTGTTGGTTTAGATCCGTCAATGTCCCAGACCCAGACCTGTAAATCACGGAGTGACCCCGAGCCCAAAGCGAGGCTTGGCGCACGTGGGCACTGGACCGGTTCGGACGGGCTGGGGTTCCTGTTCCCAAGATGTTTCTTGTGATCACTCCTAGCTACAGTCCTGTGCTTAGGCTTTCATAGTGTAGACAGATCGAACTTTCTCAGACAGCTGAATCTATCTGGGCGGCCTGCTTTTAAAATTGTTCCAGTTGCCGACTAAGCGCCTGGACTTCAAATGCAAAGCCGACAACCTCTGATATCGAGTGAAGTTTCTGCCTTCCCGGTCAAACTCGTTTGCACTGGCCTTCCCAGTCATTACACGTGCGCTTCGCAACGGTCCTCTTGGGAAGGCTGCGTCCGAATCCCCGTTTGTTGTTGACTGAGGTAGGGAACCGTTGAACTGCGGATTCCTTGCTAGAGCTTGGCTGGAACCCGCCAACACGTATTCTACGGTACCGAGCTGGTCTGAACGCTCTGGGGAGGATAGCTTCAGTATCTCACCCCCGTACAGATCGACACGAATATGCCTCGCCCGAAGTGTCCGAGCGTGAGCGCCGAACCCTTGAAACACTGCTGGCGTCCGCCGGTGTCCAAGGTTCGGTAGGGCCGAACATCCCAAACGATACCGGCAGCTGAAATCATCGAGCGAGAAACCTCACAATACTCGAGACCCTGTTGTGCTTCAACAGGACTAGCAGAGAACTCCAGTGATGCGGCTTGGAAGACTCTGGTGGCACCGACAGCCGACGCCAGAGGCCCGCTGGATGTATGGCATCGTTTTGGATTTCCGGCCCCGTCGCAGTAAATGCCTGCAATTAGGATGCCACTCTGAGCCATCTACAATAGGTCATCAGCGGTCTCTTGGTTTCGGAGAGTACGATGGTTTTAGGTATGTGAAGAATTGCTGGTTGGGGGTGGCCAGCGATCGAAATCGGCAACCAGCTCGGACAAACGTGAGTAAATACCCAGCAGCCGCAGTCTCTGCAAAAATCCCTACTTCGAACCGCGCCTCACCTGGCCACCTGGCTGTACTGTAACCCTCAACTTGACCCTCAACTTCAAAATAAAGTGCGCATTCACTCGAATGAAGGCCCCTGAGCATATTGGGGCCGGAATCACACAGTACTAATACGTGTACAGTATCCGTTTATAGATCTGATCTAGTCATAGTACAAAGGCGACAAAGCAAATCAAGGCCCATATTTTAGGCTTCGTGGCTTGGGTTTATTCAACATATTTCCTCAGTCAGCATGTGAGAACCCGTGCCAAAGCACGAGCCAGAGCTTTGCAGCATTCTGTACCGTAAACCCTTCAGAAAGTTCCGGTTGGTCGGTCGGTAGCGTCGGTTTTCGATCCCTGATCGTCCAAAATCCCCAAGGCTTCAACCACAAGGCAAAATCCTCAACACCCTAAGCCATCCCCCAGGCCAATCCCAACCCTAACCCTAAACCTCATTACATTCCATACCAATCCCACCTGAGCCCTTTATCGATGAACTCGCGCGGATTCTCAGAGGCGCGCTGCCCTGGAGCCGCTTCCAGAGCTTCTGGAACCACTGGCCGAATGCCGGAGCTTTGCTGTGTCAGTTTACATGTGTGAGTGTATGGGTGTGTTTGTGTGTGTGTGTACACATGTTTCAATTTTCTGTACGTATGTATGCATGCATGCCTGGATATGTGGACGTGTGGATGTGTGGACGTACGGATGGATGGATGGATGGATGTGTCTAGAGGTAGCAGTGGTATTGCTGGTAGCAGTAGCGGTAGTAGTAGTAGTAGTAGTAGTAGTAGTAGTAGTAGTAGTAGTCGTAGTCGTAGTAGTAGTAGTAGTAGTAGCAGCAGCAGCAGCAGCAGCAGCAGCAGTTCTATATACATATGTATGTATTAATGTTTGCATTTACAAGGACATTCAAAAGATATATGTACATGCAAATGGATACTATACAATGTATACGTAACCATCATCCAGGATTCCCAAGATGCTTGCCATTCTGCTCCGTGCATCCCTATGTCCCCATGTTTGATGGCATAGGTCGTTGTGCCGTCAAAACATTGCAAATGTCAATGCTGGTCGGTTATCGGACAAACGGTTTGCCAAGCTCAAGCTGAAATCGAGCGAGCAGATGCGAGCCTTCTTGGCATGAAAGTGCAAAACTGTGGCTGTGTGTTGGCCGGTGAACTGAAAGCTTCGAGCTTCCTCAATTTTCACCATGTCGGCAAGCGTGAAAGGTTTGAGCTTGGAATTGGACTCGCCCGAGCGTTTAGTTTCTGACCTCACGCCTGTAAATTTCGCCATTTGTAGCAAACGATCTCCATATCCGCTTTCCTAGGTCCAGCTGAATCGCCCCGAACTAATCACCCTGCACGAAACATTGGGTTGCAGGTGACGCCCTGGAGACCAGCTGCGCACCTCATCGACACGGACGGCGACCAGCAGATGAGTCGTGCGGAGTTCGACACGGCTTACGGCATTGGCGGTCCTGAAGTCATAGTTGCCCGGCTCCTGCTATGCAGCCGTGTTTCAGTTGCTTGTTACAAGTATCTTCTAGCTTCTTCCACACAGAGCCTGCTTGCCGTTGTCTATGGCTCTACATATTCGCCCTCCATCAAACTATTACTTCACTCCATGTGCGCAGTGTAGTTATGCTAAGGCGCAGGCACATGCTGCCGGCAGCGAACTTTGCATGGCTTTATGTATGTGGGTACTCCGACCATCAATGTAGCCACTGAAACAATAGCAAGTGTTGGGAATAAATCGAAATGTACGACAATGAACGTAGCAGTGCAGTTGCTACACGGGGCTGTCCAAGCTACAGTCTGGCCCTCGCAGGGCAAGCCCAGCAATTCCGCGCAATCAAGACAACGATCGTTTCTAATACAAGCCGTTCCAGCCTTGGGGTAGTCGTATTGCTGCTGCGGTCAACACTGTTACCATGTAGTGGCGAGTCTGAATCGCTGATCCTGTCAATAACATGATTGTCCGGGATGTTGTCAGCATCATCGGGATGGGGGAGCCCTGAAGGAACGACCCCCGGGCACACGGTTGGCGCACCAGCTGGAAAGCTGGAGCTTTTGGCTTATCATCGTGGCAGGGGTCGCGGCCGCCATCGCAGTGATGGTTATCCTCTTCCGCCTGCACCTTTGCACGCGACACTCGCGAGGGTGATGCTGTTAATATTGGGGCTCTGTTTGAATCGTAGCTCGTCCCCGAAACTCTGTTCAAACTGTTCAGGCCCTGGACCTTTGTTAGTAGTCTCAGTTACCTTGTTCGAAGCCGAGTTGGTTGTTGTGTCCGGACTCTAGACTCCACAGCCCAAGGACGAGGATCCGCGTACAGCCCATTGCCGGGCGGTGAATCCGAGGAGGAGGTCCAGGCAGTGTCCGATAGCACCAGTGGAACTGGCAGCGACGGGGAGGTCGAATCTGCTCGTGGCCCGGGTGACCCCGCTACAGTGGAGACTCAGACCGTGCTTCTGCAACAGGATGTGAACAGAGCAGCGAATGCGCTTAGCCCACCCAGCAAACCGCACAAGTGGATCGAGGAACTTGAGCTGCTGCCCTTGCCGGCCGCGTTTGCGCCACAAGTGCAGTGGTCTTTCGAGCAGTCGCACGGTGAGCCCGCACGAGCCCAGCCGCGAAGCCTGCGGCAAGTTCTGGATCAAGATCTGAGATGGCAAAGTAACCAGGCTCAGAGCTTTCATCCTGCACAAACACCACAGTATCCACCTGGAACTTTTGGCGCCATGCTCTCCCAGACGATCGCTCATTCGCCCGGCTCTTCGCAATCGCTGCAAGGGCCAGTCTGATCATGAGACGGCCCCTTCGCTTTCACCCTTAATCGCACCGTTCATGTCCTCAACGGCATTAAAACTGACCTGTGGAGTCGATCCACAGGCTTTGAGTGAAAGTCAGGGTGTCATGTTCCCGGCTCTAAGCACGAACCGTCAGTACTGAGAAAGGAAGCTGCACAAGAAAACCCTGCCAGGAGCTGCAGGACTTGGAGGACTACTACTTCAAAGCCGACAAGGACCAGTTGCTTGTCCTACTTGTCATGCGGCGCAGATCCGTGGAACTGCACCTTGTATTCCGCTCGCAGGATGCCAAGATTACCAAGGCCAGGCAAGACCTGCTATAGAGTGCGTGGGTTTGAGAACCGGCACACTGCTTCAGTCGGTGACACTGATTGGCTAACTGGGTTTTCAGCGGGACGCGGGAGCCAGGCGTTCCACTCGGCCATGGAGATGTCGGACAAGCTGCTTGCGCAGCCTGCAATGTCTCGCCAACAGGCCTGCTGCACATGTAGTCATGAGAGGGGACTCGTGCTGCGCATGCCAGGACGTCAAGTCAAGAGCGTCCGGGCCCCACGGCCTACACAGGCACAGCAGGATGTGCGATGCTAAACATCCACGGCTGTAGTACTGGGAGCCGAATCTACGAACTACTATGACACTACCTACACCACCATGCACCATGCCCGACAAGCATCCGCGACAATGACCACGGCCACCGTGCGTGCAAGGCCAGCAGCCCGCCACTACTGCCATTTCTCCCATCACGACACCTCCACTACGACGGCGACGACGACATCGACGAAAAGCACCTCCTGACCCAAGCGGCGACTGCTGCTGCTGCTGCCGCTGCCGCCATTCGCGATACGATTTGGATTTCCAGAAAAACCAGGCTTCTTTCGATTTGTCATTATTGCACTAGTGCGTGTCGTCGGCCAGCCTGAGTCTTCACTTCAACATGTCGAAGCATCAGCTTCGGGGAAACGGCAGGGAGAGGGAACTTGGAATTGCTTATGTAGGATTCAGGCAGCCAGAGAGGGCGGGTTCAGAGCAACTTCATGGCGAGCAATGACGAATCCGACAGGTGCATCTGCATCAACATATCCAGGAACTTTATCACATCTCGATGCTTTCTCAAAGTGCTGGGGCTCAACACTCCTGACTTCCAAGACTTCCTGTCCTTCACCCCTGGCCGTGGTCGAAGGACATGATGTCACACTGCTCGCACGTACGGATTGTCGAACCTGTTGTGCAAAGGTCACGGTTTCGGAGTCAGAGGGCAGCGGTGTACCTACAGTACTTGTGTAGATCTTCTCTAGCACATATAGCCTTAAGCGCCGTGGCTATAGCCTAGAGCCATAGCCTGAGGCAAGACCAATGAATAAAATCCCGACGCTCTCGTGCACGAGGCTTTACCTCAAAGGCCGCACGGCATCGTTCATGCCCGGGGACCAAGTTGTCTGAACCTCCGCCACGGCTGTTGATTTTTCTTCTGAGCATTTGGGGGTGTCGGATTTTGGGGGGGTTTTGGGGCGCGGTGGGATGGCTTTCTGGGAAGCTGAGGGCTCGTCTTTTGATGCTGTCAGGGATCTCAAGCATTTTTCTGCTGATTTCGGGCTCGACTCCCGGTTTTGGTCACGTTTGGGTTTCAGGAAGTCGGGAAGTAGGTTGGCGTCAGGTGGCTTCAGGCTTTGGGAGTGCTTCTTGGTGCTTCGTGGGATTCAATGCTGCAGATTTTTGCGTTAGGCCGGATAACGACTCCGGGATCGGGAACCCATACGGGAAATATCCCTTGACACGCGCCGAAACCCTGACCCCACTTTTTGGAATCCTACCCCTCTTACCAATCCAGCAGCAAATGCAGGCCCCCAAACCGAGCAGCAGTTTTTCGCGAGACCTTGACGTTGCCGTGCTTCAGTTTGAAGTCCAGAAGGAGATGTGACTGATAGAACTAGAAGTTCTGGACTATCACACAATGACAAGAACTAACAACGTCCTTGTGTGTAGACGAGCTGAAAGACCATGGTGATCCTTCGAAGAGCTTCAAGTTCACTGGTGATCGTTGTTCTTGAAACACACGGACGGCCAGAGCTTCCTCGCAAGGAGAAGCGTAAGCCCCAACTCCTACCCATGTGGTGCGCGCCGCCATCTGCCGGGTTTGAAGTTCGTCTCAGGCCTGGCCAGGAGCGCTTTGCGGAGGATCGGACGGGTGCTTCTGTTCCTGCTCTTGGGCTCTGCGCTTCAATTCGGCCCCCAACCCACAACCCCAATGTGGGTGGAAATTCCCTGTCAGTTTCTGATTTAGACATCATCTCTTCTGGGTCTTGTGCGAACATTTCCCAAACCCCTTAAACTTGGGCTTCCGACACGAACCAAAGTCGCCTGCAGAGTCCAAACTGTCCAAACTGCTAAATGCTCTGTGCAAGTGTGCGAGTCGAAATATTCGAAAGTCGCAAGGGCACCGACCAAGCAGACCTGCAGAGTCAGCCTTGCAATGGGGCTAGCCATCCGTGATCACAGCCCCCACCTTTTGCGGTGGCTGACGGAGTCAAGGTTTACGTCTTAGGGCCTTAGGGCACCTTATTCTGCGGCCTCATGTAATGTACTCGTAGGGCTTATGGGGTTGAGGGTGGCTCGCCCGGTACGAGGCGGACTTGCGGTGTGAATAGAGTTCATTTGCCTTGCATAGCTATCACAGCGCCAAATCCCACGCTCTATTCAGCAATCCCTCCGGCTGTTGTTTGTTGCGTGATGTGTCAGGAATAAGGGATCCATCCCCTCTCTCTCTCTCTCTCTCTCTCTCTCTCTCTCTCTCTCTCTCTCTCTCTCTCTCTCTCTCTCTCTCTCTCTCTCTCTCTCTCTCTCTCTCTCTCTCTCTCTCTCTCTCTCTCTCTCTCTCTCCTCTCTCTCTCTCTCTCTCTCTCTCTCTCTCTCTCTCTCTCTTTCTATATCTCCTCTACCATATATTATATGATATCTCTGTATTCTATATATTATATGTAAACACACACACACACACACACACATATATATATAATATATACACAATACGCACACACAGACACACACACACACATATATATATATATATATATATATATATATATATATATATATATATTTATTTACATATATATATATGTACATATATATATATATGTATATATTTACATATATACATATATATATATATATGTATATATATATATACACATGCGCCCTACATACAAGTAGTAGGATGTTTACCCTGAATGGGGAGCTCCTGGCTTTCTGAATCAGGAGCACCTCTCCAAGGCGTTGAAGCCTGGATCACAGCCAGCGCTGCTTTGAGCACCGGGGCTCTTGCTAAGGTACTATAGGGGCGTTATTTCGTACCTGTAGGGTTCCTAGGGTTCCTTTAAAAGGGTCTATATGGGATCTATAAGGGTACCACAATAACGGGGCCTTGGTACTTACCTAGACTATTTGGGGATTCCTTGTCACTACAGCATGATGGGCCCCAAAGCCTTGTTCCAATGATTCAGAGCCCCTATAGGAGGCTTAGGCTTCGGGCCCAGGGCCTAGACCTCTTGATTCCAGGCTTCAGGCTCAGATATCTTTTTAAGTGCGGGGAGCTCAGGGTATCAAGACCCTGCAGATTACGGCTCGCAATAAGTGTGTGAGACGACTCAGGCCCTCAGTCCGGATTTCGTTGGGCGTTGTTTCTGCGCTTGCAGACCGTGGAAGTTGCTCCACACTGTTTGTCGGGTTCATTAGGGCCAGGACGGCATTGTGGAAACAAGCTTAGCTCCGAAACCTACAAACCTCAAACAGCCAAATGAAGTGCACCACGAAGAGGAACTTTATGATAGGGTGTATTTCCCCAGTACGAACGACATCCAGGAATCAAGAAGCAGAGCGCTCGAAGCGGAACTAGCCCAAGCCCAAGGCTCGATCCCCTCCTGCTGGATGCCTGGAATGCCTTGGGGGAGGCTGGCCATCCTGAGGGCAGTGCGGTGACTTTCAACGACCGATGATGGCCATGATGAGGGCGACGCCGACATTGGTGATGACAACCTGATCTGCCATCGTGATGGACCCCACGCGGTTAGGACACAAACTACTTATAAGATCGAACGTTCCAGTTCCGAAAGGAAGGCAGTCAAGGCATTCCGTCCCGAAACCCTCGTGTGGGCCCGGGTCAGGTCTATTGGAACTTGCAGGAAATCTCGCAGGCGGGGCCTCGGCTGCTTTCTTTGCGAGTGGGATGCGATTCAAGTTTTGAGAGCTGGGGCGCCTGGAGCATCCATGCATTCTGCGACTTTGTCCGTTCGGTGCAGTGCTGCCGGACGGTGGTGTACACATCCCGAAGACATGAGATCTGAACACGCATATCGTCAAGATCAAGATGCACTGGCTCAGGTGTTGGGGCCGTAACATGCGCACCTTCCTGAAAGAGTCACCATATGCTGCCCCGGAACTTCGGGTTTGGACTCTGCCGTAATTCTGCTTAGCCGCTTAGCCCTCAACGTCTACGTGCTCTAAACCCCACCCAGGTCTATATAAAATGATATATTCTTAGCTTTTGACTTTAAGGATTTGTAGCTGGTTTCTGGGGACTCTGTGAAGACTGATCACGCATAAGCGAGGAGCACTGTAGCCGCATGGGGCTGCCAGCCAGTCCCAAAACGTTGAAACTAACAAGCCAGTGGATCAATGCAGATCAAGATATTTCCTGCCCTCTGAGGCGAGTTGGTTTAAGTTGCAAGCGTCTCGTAACTGTTGTGTGGCGATGTCGTCTCCGCAACCTGGCCTGTGCCATTCGACATGCAAGCCAAGAGGCCACAGGAACATCGAGAAACTGGGCCGCTTAATGTATGACCAAATGCATCAATCAAGCAAAGCTTCCACATGTGAACCAGCTTTGATGTCTTCCGGACCGCATGGTCTCAGTCTTGGCGAGCTGGCTGCTTCAAGCATTGATACCTTGGAAACCCAAACACAGCCAGAAAACAAGAGAAGTATCCCCCCCCCCGACGCGCTCAACGAGAGCGAGCAACCAAAGGCACAGCCCAGTGCAAGAGCCGGCGAGCCACCTATAGAATCCTTGGGAAAAAAACAGAGCCCGGCACAACCCGTTGCAGGATAGGCTTCAACCTAATGTGGTGGCCTTTATAATTGCAATAGGCTGAAAAGGCTTTGGGGGTATATTACTATACTAGAACTACCATGAGGAATTCCCAAAAACCTTATGTATTGGTATTTTTATTACTATTTTCATCATTATTGTTATTATTATCTTCGTTATTACGTAAGGTCCCTCCATTACCCTTGTCAGGCGAAGCACTGCTTCGAGCAGGCACTGGAGCTATGTGAGCCAAACCCCGTCTCAGCCCCAATGACGACACGTAGCTCAATGTCACTGTTTGGGGCCAAGCCCCTACCCTTCAAACTGCATGAAGGTGTATATAAGAGCTACGAGGGTGTGTACAGCATCCGGGTATGTAGGGCGGCTGCAGTAGTTTACAGGACTTCATGTCCACTTGGGGTCTTCGGCATGGGCATGGAGCCAGTTGCACTTCTGTCGATGGGTTTCCATGCTGAGCACCAAGGTTTCTCTGCGCAACCTATCGATGACGCTGAGGGCTCTCGACAGTCCGAATCCTACTTCCGCAGCCTCATTGGCTGGACTGTCTTGCTTGAGGGGTTTCGGCGGGTCTACTTCCGCCACCAGTCACTGTGCTGCCATTGGCCCAAGCAAGATGCGAAGTTTGTGGCTTAAACAGGCCAGGATGCAACTGCCAAGAACTCAAAAACTTCTATACAGCAGCTCATCAACCCAGACTCAGAATAGACAGAGGTCACTTTAGGTGTTTGTGCGGCATCGTGGGCGGCGGATGGCCATGCGGTGTCGGCATCGCCTCAAGTGATGGTTCTGCAACTGCTCTCCTTGAGCGGCGAAGCTTTGCCTGCTGCTTGGCAGATTATGTCCGGCATGCTCGCAGAAGGAGGGGAGTCGACCGACTTCCGCGGTAGCCCCGATAGCCAAACTCCAACTCAAGGCTCAATCTGCCAAAAACGTAGGGCCTTGAACCCCAGAGCCATGTTCAAAACTCTCAGGAGCAAGAAGCGACGAGCTCATACAGAGATTTTGAATCACCCATGCCAGATGAAGAGAAAAACCGCAAGGTATCAACACCAGAAAAGAAGAAACACAGCACGAATGTGAACCAAAGCAGTCCCCTAGGTCGATCTGGAAGATGCCTCAACCGTGAAGGATGTCCGGAAAGCGGCCGCCGACATCATGGGCTGCGAGAAGTCCTGCGTACTTCTGGTTACTTCGCGCAAGCTTGTCCCGAAACCCTAAAGCCCGAGCATGAGCCCCGAAACCCTAACATAGTGGTCTGGGTCACTGCACCGTTGGTTTCTGGTCGGAAGTATGACCAATACTACTCACTGATATCCTCGGATTCTTGATTACGAAACTAAAGATGTCTATTCTATTCGAGTTATGAAGCCTATACAGAGGCTATACATGACACGTTTAGGGCATCAGTCCTTTCGTTTTGCTGCGTGTTTCCCACGTTACTTGTTGCTTCGGTGCGTTGAGGGGTTCGGATTGTGTTCAATCTGATTCTCTGACGACGTAGCTGTCTTGGAGAGTAGTAGTGGGGCCTTCGTTTGAGTTGGCAGAACTGGGCGTGTCGAACGTTCGAAAACGACAACGTCAACCCTTTGAGCCGGAAGCTTTAGCCTCAACCTTCAATGCTAAGCTGCTAAGCCCTAAAACAGCCGTCCGTAGCAAGGGACGTGATGCAGCTGGGTAGTAGTTGGCACGAGGATTGGCATCTTAAGGAGCCCTGATATAGGGAGCCTTAATACTCTACTATACTATACTTATGGAGGGACTGGAGCAGGAAGGACCACTAAACTTGCACAGAACATCCTAAAACAGCCCCTTGACCGAACTTGCAGCATCTGCATTGCCTCCTGCTTTGCGGCAGGCGGGGAGGATTTAGGGCATTGGGGCATTGGGGTTCCGCCGCCAACGCCGAAATCGCCATTCCCGGCCTTTTCCCGTGAAAGGAGCTTGTCAAAGGTGAGCAAGAAAGGCAGGAGCCAGATTGCGGCAGATAGGCCCTATGTACTGAGATAGGTATCGCTGTTTCCCTCGGTCCAAGCCTTGTTTCAGCTCTCTTGGGCTTCGAGCCTGGCAAGACAGGTCAGGAAGCCTGCTGAAACTTCGTGCAGGCACAGGCGATGGTTTAGTGACCTGACCTGCCACACATGGGTGGCAAGGCATCAGCATGAAGCTTCTCTGGTTCATTTCTGGCTTCCAGCCGTTCTCATGGTGCATGAAGCTGAGGTTGCATCTGGCGGCACCGATTGCTTGCCTGACTCGCAGCTGCTGCAATCACTCAAATGCACGACACTGAAGCTTGGGGCAAGTTACATGCAGTCAGGGCGGTCCCAGCCAAGGTGCAGTTGCACTTGGCAGACTTGACACAGACGAAACAGGTTTTTGCACATGTGTTCGACCGAGGACTGTCATAAATCAGTCTTTCGACCCATCGCTGTTGAGCTGCCCGGCGTCAATTCAGCGGGGAGGGTTCGAAGTTGGAATAGCAGCGTAGCAGCATAGGCATGGGCTGACGTGCAACAGCGGGCGAGCACTGTGTTCTATCCGACATTGCTGCATCCTGCAAGCCAGCTCAGGATTGGACGAACAAGAGTCCAAAAGGCACCGTCCGCCTGCAAATGCAATGGCATGAAACATGAACCATCGACAGGGCACACCATTCCCCATCGTCCTTCTCAGCCATGGGCCGTTATTCATCGTACAGTCATGATCAGCATCGTCAGGTGCATGAGGGTCGCAGATCATTGTGGCCATCATGAGGCTATAGGCTGTTATGCTATCGACTCGTCGTCTCTCTTTTTTGCTTGCGTCTTCTCAGCACCACCCTCACGTCGTCATTGCCGTCATCTTGATCGTTCTTCTTCGCTTCCCTCTCCTGCTCTTCTCGGACGGTGCAACGAAGAGACGTCCTTGTACTGGCAGGAAGGCCAACGACTATTCCACGACTTTCTTTAAGACAACGAAACTGCTGTATGACGGCTCCTGGGCATCATCAGATACCGCAGCATGTCATACCAGACCGGCTATTCTCACCCCAAGTCCGCAAAAGCCCCTGCGAAGCTGAGATAAAGTCATTTGGGAACGCTCCGACCGGCAGTTTTGCGATGACGGGGGCTTCAGAGGCCGAACACAGGGTGTAGGACTTTGGGAACCGGGGATAGGACTTTAGGGTTGCTGCAAGGGTTTAGGCGCGGTCACACGAGTTGACTTCTTTCTGCCAAGTCTGGCACATCAGAGAGATCCGGCTTCCGACAAAAAAGTTTCAAGCTTTCGGGTTTTGCGCTTGTTTGTTTGGGGTTTTAAGGATTTTCTGTCCAGTGTTTGTCTTGGGGGCTTTAGGAGTTGATTTTTTGGGGGTTCGCTCTACTACCACTGCGAGGGGTTGAATGGGAATCCATCAGGTCGGAGGCTTCAGACTATTTCGTTTAGGGTTTAGGCAACTTGGTGGCACTTCAGAGATCGTTCAAGAAAGGGTTACCTTGCTTGTATCAGAAGTGATCATGAGCCTTACTTTGGAGCTAAGGTGTCGCGGCTATGATGTCAGAACCTAGCCTGTAGCCCGGGTTCAAGTTTAAATTGTGCGCTGGAGGTCGAACACACGACGTCTATCTCTCGGAATGTCGCAAGCTTCTGTTCTGCCGTGCAGGCTCTTTTGCTGTGACGCAGGGGTTGGGATTTCCAGGAATTCGCAGCAAGGCCTGTGGGATGTTCTCGATGCTGATATACGGTGATCAGTACTGCCGTCCCCAGGGCTGTCCAAGAGTGTGGATTGAGTGCCGGAAGTTGGGAACCTTTGCCAAGTCCGTCAGCATGGTATATCGATCCGTGCCCATGAATGCAAGGAATCTTGCGGAGAAGTGGGGTGCCGGAGTACGAGCCTCCAGTGGCTGGGCTTGCGAAGTGTCGTATTGAAGCTTAATTGGGCCTAAATAATTATTAAGGGTTCCTTTGGAGGGGTCTATAAAGGATCTATAAGGCTAGTATTGTATGTATGTAAGAAATATATATATATATATATATATATATATATATATATATATATCTGTCTGTGTGTGTGTAGCATGGGCCCGATCCACGGAAGGTAGTAGGTACCGTTTTCGGGTCCTGGTCCGTCGTTTGTTCGCATATCTGACAAAGCTCCCTGGAGTCCTTGCCTCAGTCTGTGAAATGTTGCTCGAAACCACGGTTCCCGATACGGCATCGAATTTCGCAGCGTGTAGCCCCTGAAGTTTGGACCCTGCATAAGGTCACCATTCAGAGAGTTCCGCTGCCTCCACAGAGCCCAGGAACCCATTCATGTCCAACAGCTCCTTCGCAAGAAGGGCCTGCGATGATTGTCGATGCTGTGCCTCCTCGGCGTCTGCCGTGAACGTCTCTGAGTCTGCTTAGAAGGGGACCGTAAGGCCGCGGCTTAGTAGTCGGGAATGCCGAAATGTCATAGCAGTACATAGGACATCGAAACATAATTAGCAGCCGGTGCATCGCAGTAGACGTTGTGTGTAGATGTGACAGGAAGGGCCTCATGAGAAGCGTACTACTACTAGTACTACTACTAATAATAATACTACTACTACTACTACTACTACTACTACTAATACTACTACTACTACTACTACTACTACTACTACTACTACTACTACGACGACCACTACTACTACGATTACTACGAGTACTGCGACTACTACGGCTACTACGACTCCTCTGCTACGACTGCGGCTATGACTTCGACTACCATTACGACGACGACGACGACTGCAACTGCCTTACGAAGACGTCTGCTACTACTACGACCACGACTACGGCTTCGACTTCCGCGACTACCACGACAAACGACTAGCACGATCACCACCACCACCACCACCACCAGCACCACCACCAGCACCACCACCAGCACCAGCACCAGCACCAGCACCAAGCACCAGCACCAAGCACCAGCACCAAGCACCAGCACCAGCACCAGCAACAGCTCCACCACCTCCACTGCTACTTCTTCTTTGACAACGACCAACTGCTGCTGCGACTACTGCGACAGTTGCTAGTACTAGTAGTGGCAGGCACACTTCTGACATTGTTCTTTCGTAGCAATGTGTGAGCTTTCGGTACATGCAGGGGTTCAGCTTCGTGCCTTCGGCTGCAGGCCATGGCACTCACGACAGCAAATAGTCTGAAGTTGTTTGCTCGACAGCATGCAGCTCAAAAAGGCGTCTTTCGGCTGCTTCGGGCATGGCCAAACCCTGCGAAGCCGCAGTGCACTTGACCGCTTCTCCGCTTGGCTGAGATCCGTATCAAGAAGGTGGTCGAGAAGATCCTGTGAAGGACTGGGACTGCAGAGATGCCAAAGACATTGGACGGAAGCTAGCAAAGGATCGACGTGCAGAATGACCCCAGTGATTCTAGTGGCCTCATTTCTCCGCTTGCATGTTTGAAGTGCATCAGGCCGCGGCACGCCGGGAGAACTACGCAAGGGCAGCGAGCTTACAGGAACTTAGATTGCACGCCTTTGGCACGTGCAGCATGTAGATTCCTCAGAAATCTACTGGCACGTCTCAAGGACCATCATACTATAGGACTGTAGGAGTCGGATTAGTTGCCGATAGCATCCCCTTGACAGCTATACTGGCATGGACCCCAACACCAAGGCCCCTGAGCCCTCGATTCCCTGCGTCTTGCTCACCGCAGAAGGCTCTGGAGAAGGCGAAGGAAGCTGTGGCGCTGTCGCCCTCGGATCCCCTGAACTGGGAGACGCGCCTTGGCGCTGGCCGATTCGAGGGTTTTTCCTTTGCTTAGCGCATATTTATAATAAAGTTCATATGATAGTAGCAATCGTAGTAGTGAAAGTGGTGATGCCAAACGTAAGAACAAGATCATGTCATGTCACATAATCAGGGAGCCCTCTCTACCCATGATGAAGAGAGCACTTCTCGCAGCAGAGACAATCTGAGAAAACTCTTCAGGAACGCATGCACGTTTCCTATCAATTCCGGAGGAATCGGGCAGATAATGCAGGAACCGGAAAGTTTAACCGTTTCAGCAATTCTGCCCAGACGGGCCCCTTGTATGCCTGTGGTTCAGAATGCTTTACCTGGCAAGCACCGGTAGCGAATAGTAGCTGCGGCAAAGACTTGAATGGCAATGCAAACACCCTCCCTTGCTCTGGTTTTGAAGGTAACCAGATCAGTGTTCGGTCCCGCAGTCGTGATCACTAAGTCTGCCTGAGGACAAGAGAGAGGCTAACCCTTTGGTTGCTTTGGTGACGTCCTTGTCAAAAAACAGTTGTTGTGCATTCAATTAAACCTAGTGTTGACGACGGTCATGCAGATTGTAGCAGCATGCGAGTCTTTGAGATATTTTGCACCTTTGGGCTCACTATGAAGCACTACCTTACCACGGCTACAGCTCAGGGAACAGGCGTACTACAACAGTCCTATTGACGTCGCTGGTAGCAACCCCACTTGAAACGATCAAGCCTCTCTTAGGGTTTGGGGTTTAGGGCCCTAAACCCTAAACCCGAAACCCTAAACCCGAAACCCTACCGGGGGCCTGGGAAGGTCCTTTGAAGGAGTCCTTTGTGTTTCATCAACATGCACTGATACGGCATCGGCTTTAGAGGAAGCCTTTGCTCGGCCCTACCGCAAGCTCACCAATAGGTTCTGTTGCTGACATATCATGACGGAGCCTCTTAGTGCAGTCTCACTTTGCAGACGCGAACTCATATGCCTCGCCTGGATTGTCCGAGTGTGAGCGCCGAAACCCGAAACCCTAAACCTTGTGGACCAGCCCAGGCTCGGAAACGCCTATGCCGGGGTCTGAGACTGCAGGGCTCTCCTTTCTTTCGTATTACTAGCCATAATAGTAACAATTTCTGTATTAATAGCAATACTCTATAGTAACAATCGTAAAAAGAGTAGTACTGTAGTAATAATCCTAATAAGAGTAAGAGTAGGAAATGAATCAATAGCAATAAGTATATGATCCATCTTGGTTCGGCCCTTCCGGTTTTGCGGTCACGGTGAGGTCTGGGGAATTTCTTCTGTTGTCAATTGGGGTTCGCCAGCAGGAGCGTCACTTCACCTGCGACAGCCGTTGAACACAAAGTAGACTTAGAACCCTCAAGACAAGTCCTACAAGCCTTCCTGTACAGCCATATAGTACCCCTTAGAGAACCCTATAGAAACTCTTCGCAGGTTGGCAACTTCTTCGTCAATGCAAAGAGACCTGACGAGATCAAAAGGCGGCCAAGTTATCTGAGGGCATCATTTGTATGTATATACACACTTAATCTGCCAAAGACTATATGGAATACATAGTACATAATGTACAATATATAAGCTGGGCTTCAGGGCTTTATGTGCAGTTCCTGCTCGCATGAGCTCCCACTGTCCCCTGAAGCCACGGCCGAGTTGCAGTCGTTGCCTGCAGGGCCTTGATCGCTTACGAAAAAGGCGATGCAGCCTACAAGAAGTTGGGGTCCCAGAGCGTTTGCTTCTAGAGTTAGGGTTTAGGCCAATGTCAGTGTCGGTGTAGTCGGTGCCGGGTAGATTCTTGGACATTTGGGATCCTACCTGGTATGTCTGCACCGCCATGAGACGCTGAACTAATACAGGGGCCTCAGTAATTACCTATACTATTTGCGGGGTTCCTGGTTATAGTAATTATAGTATAGTATACCCCAAAACCCCATTCTAATGATGAAGGCCCCTGTCGTGTGATGCCGTGCCTCCTCCAGGCTGGGTAAGCGCAACCCTACGCTCCACTTCAACCGGGGTATGGCCGCAAAATATGTCGAGGCAGGGAAGATCTTCAGACGCACACTTTAGCAAAAGAGTTCCGAGGTTGACCGCTGCTTGAAGGAATTTGTGTCCCTGCCTTGCTATGTTGGGGTCTTCGTTCACTCTGTCAAATTATCCACAAAGAATCTTCTCCCTCAGATCCTGGAGACTCCCCTGCGAACTCTGCATAGGAATGATTATCCACAAAGAATCTTCTCCCTCAGATCCTGGAGACTCCCCTGCGAACTCTGCATAGGAATGATAGTTCAGGCCTTTCACGGGCTCGCCTCCGCAGAAGCTAGAAAATGATTGTTGCAGGACTACGACCTGGCATCAAGATCTTTGGCCACAGCGCACGAGCAGGGGCCTAAGTAGCTGCGACGGCGGCAGGCCCTCTTTTGGTAGCATGGCCATTGCCCTCAGCACTACTCAAGGCGTTGCTAGTGCAGTACTTTTGTCGGTGTTCACATTCGTGTGATGCTCTGCAGACCTCGTATCGCAAGAGCCGATGCCAAACATGAATTCCGAATTCCTCGACGCTTGCCCGACTCCCCGCCTTGCGGCTGGGAGTTCCCGAGCAAGGCACCCGAAAGCCGAACCTAAGCCCTACAACCTCGCCGGGGCAGGCAGTCGAATCCTGAAACCTTCAGCCCAGATCAACAGCACGTAGAGTGGGAGTCAGGATTGGTGCAGCAGGTGCTGCAGAAGAGCGCCGAAAGGCCGAGCCTATGACAGTTCAATATATGCAGTGCTTTGCAGGAGTTTCTATCGGGCTTTGTGAGGTGTGGGCCGATGGTATCATAACTTGAGAAAGTAATGATGCCGGCCATCATAGCATGTAAGAGTAGGAGCAGGAGGAGGAGTAGCGGCACTACTGGTGGCAGTAGTGGTGGTGCAGTCGCACCAGCAGTAGTAGCAGTAGTAGTGACAGTGCGAGAGGAGACTCATACTTGTATTTGACGGGGAGAGTTGCTAGACCGTCCCCCGCCAGGAATGCTTCACGACCTCATTTCAGCAAAGCTGTCTGCTAGGTGCTAGCTCTCGTCGACAGCTTGAAGGACTGGGGTGCCGCCTTCGATGCTTGATGAGTTCGGGTTCGGAGCTCCTGTGTCGTGCTGCGCCCTCATCCCACAACTTGGCCATTCGATGCCGGGCCATCCGAATGCGATGCTTAAATTTGGCCTGGCCCAAAAGTGTCAGCACAAACCTCCGAGCCCCCCTGTGAATCTCGGAGTCTCGAGAGACGTAACCCTCAATCCCAATTCCGAGAGCTCAATGGGCGAAACGATGCACTCTGAAGCCTGTTGTTACCCGTCTTCCTCAAAGAGCTCGTGCCGGAGGCATTGAGCGCCCAGGGGATAAAAATAGATTCGGAACCACGCCCCCCCACAGTTGGCTCCACAGCTCACTGCTTGCGGCAGGAGCACTTGCACAAGAAGTCCGAGAAGACGAAGAAGCTGAAGGACCCACTGGAGCGGCTCGAGAGCCTCTCTGTGGCTTACTTCTGGGGAGCATGTTGCATCTCAGTGTAGGAGGCCAGGGAACCTTGCCGGAACTTGCACATGGTTAGCAAGCAGCAATGCTGCAGAAATTCGTGGTGCTCTGGGTCTTGCCGTGCGACGAAAGTAGCCTCGAACCTGTCCGATTGGTCAGGGCCAGCGAAAGAACCTTCAAGCTGAAGTTTTGAAGCAAGGCCTTGGGAACCCCCCAGCGAAACTGACTGACAATTCTCAGCAGATTCTCAACAAAATCAGGCACAAACCATGTGTGTCGAACTCCTGCAGGCCTAAATCCCGAATCCCGACACGCCAGGCCCCTGAACCACTCTGCCCCAGAAACCCTGAACACGGCGCTCCCATCAATGCGGTGCGTGCAGAGGACTTGAGCCCAGCTTTCCCAGACAACTCGGCGTCGCTCGGTAAGAGCCAAGGAGGGATAAGGAGGCAAAACCTTCAGGGAGGACCTGCTTGGATTTTCAGGCTGCCATCGCGGGGAGGGGCTTTGACATGAGGGTTGAAGGGATCCATGGTTGAGGGTTCAGATTAGGGGAGCGTGTGTTCGGCCAGACCGGGCTGCTGGACTGCAGGGCCGCCAGATGGGTAGGCAGTCGTGGCGTCTCCTCAGATTGAGATGGTAGGCAGTCGCAGGCTCTCCTCAGATCAATCTGTGTCGCAGGGCTGCCTTGCACTTCCGGCGAGCTTTGAAGGGATCCCGATAGGGAGACGAATCCCAAAAGCCTCTTTGGAGTCTCTCGAAGCCAACCTCTCAGGCCCGACAACGAGGACATCCCGACAGAATCAACCTTCTCTGGATCCTTTGTAATTACTATAATTACCTATACTATTTTGGGGGTTCCTTATTACATTTGCAGTATCACACACACACACACACACCCACCAGAATCCTACAGAAAACCAAGCAACACCAGACAATCGGAGGGTCGGCTTGAGAAACCAAGTTCCCCCCTCCTACATGATTCTTTGGTGTCCGTCGGTACACTGCCCCCTGCACTACTCAAGGTACAGCACCATCAAAGCTCAGATCTCAGCTTTTTGGGTTGCTGTGGAGATGCAGTGCACGCTTCACGGACGGTCGGAGGATTCATGAGAAGGGAATCAATCATGCAGGGCACATGCCCGGCTGCAAGCCTTTGGCTCAAGTTCTACCTCTTTTCAGGTTTTTCTCAGCACTGCTGAGTTTTCTAAACAACTTACGAAGACCGCATGGCCGAGGATGGGGTTTCGTGGCGCACTGCAGGTTTTCCTGGGGTTGCTTTGTGCCATGATGCATGATGCTCCAAGTCGCTATTCGAGTTATTCATGCCCCTACAAGAGTTCATTCAGAGGAGTTTTGGCGGGATTCGGGTCGTGTTTCTGCGCAGGAGGAAGCTGCGCACGAGGATCCGGAGCATACGACAGCTCCCCGGACTTAAGCAGGGGTGCTCGTTCTTGCCGAGAAGCACTCTACTTTAAGACCTTGAGTTCTTTTTGTCCAATCTTTGTGCGATAACAGAAAGAAAACTTCGGCGACTACGTGTTCCTCGTCTTGTTCCTTCCTCCACTTTGTGTTGGAATCCTTGGTGTCCCCGTGTGATGTGTCCGCGCGTCCTATGCACTGAAGTCCTATTAAAAACTGGCTGTCTCATTCGCACATCCGAAAAAGGCCCGAAGACCGAGCAGTAATCCGCCCCGAGGCCCTGAATCCCTCGGTTCTATTCGAACCTATGACCTAAGGACCACCCGAACCCGGAAGCGCAGTGAGCCCGGAAGCCTGCAATCCCCCAAAGGGGTCGTCACGCCCATATCAAGATCTTCCCACCCCGCCTGGAGAGCATGGAAGCTCACTCTTCAAACAGCCTCACTTGCAAGAAATGGGAGCTTCCGAAGGGTACTTTTTTGGTCGGTCCTTATAGTGAGGATCCTACTAGCTATTTCGTGTACTATATTAGGGCCCTTTAGTTTTCGGTAACTCCCAAATCCCAAGGAAGAAGTGACGCAAGACCACGGCGAAGGCCTCGGTCTTCGAAAAGGGAATAGGTTTCCTACGGTTCCTTTGCAGGGGTCTATAAGGATTACTATCAGGGGTCTGTGAGGGTACTATAATGTAGGGGCCTAAGCAGTCGCCTATACTATTTGGGGGGTCCTTAGTATATTTAGAGTATTAATATGCTAAAACCCTATCCCATGGCTTCCGGGTTCCGGGGGTCCGGGTTTCCTGGGTCCTCATGTCTTCCCACTTTACGGCGTTTAGGGCCTCTTGTGCTTTAGGGTTCTGCGTTTCGGGTTTGTGGTGTTCTTGGGTTTCAGGGTTCAGGGTGCTGGCATTCATCAAGTCCAGGTTCACAAAAAGGGCTCAGGGTGACACTGAACCAGTTTCGTCGATGTGACTCTTGCTCAGGTTTTCGCCCGGCATGCCGGGCAGAGGGTCTACCTGGCATCGTGCCTCCAGCCTGGGTCCTGAGCATTGTGCCGCTCTTGAATCAATTCAAGGGGGCATTTGGCTACAAAGCTATAAACATCCTGAGGCACTGCATCACTATAATGCAACCTGTGCGTGTGCAACCGTCAGAGACGAGTCCTTGGTGAGAGAAGATGGGCATTTGACAATGTTTCGGGGGTTTGCGTCGGCTATGACGTTCGTGGGGACCCTGGCTAAAATCTGCAGGTGTAAAGAAGCCGAGCGAATCAGACCGGTAGTGTGAGCTTCCCCGAAGATCCACAGAACCCTTCAGCTGCCATGTCGAATCTCCTTCGCCCCCTGTCTCCAGCTCCAGGGCCCGAGCTCTGTCTCTGTGACCCTAAAAGTCTCAGCTAAATCACCACCGAGGCCGTGCAAGAAACCCATGAGGCCGCCTGGACACGAAGGGTTATGGAGGGGGCGCAGGGGTAAAGGTCGGGTGGTCGAGGGGTTCGTAAGCTTTTTTCAAACTTGGGCCATCTGTGCGCTCCACGGATGTTTAGAGCGGATGACCGCTGCGGTGGTTGGTAGGTGTACTTACCAGTGAGTGCTGTAGCGATTTTCGTCTTGCCAGAGTCTTGGGTGTAAGTACCCAAAGCAGTTGCTGGGTTCCGCCCGTGAAGGCATTCAGACGGCCAGGCAGACAAATGACGACAGACTAACAGCCCAACGAAACCCTCACTTAGCTATACATCCCTAAAGAGCGCCACCCCAAAACCTAGAGAATCTGTCTTCTGAACCCGTGCCGACTGCGAGCGAGGTTGCGAGTCGAAAGCTGGGCCTAAGGGGGGTGTGTCTCATTCTATAAGAGCTCTGGCTCTAGCTCCGGCAATGCTTCCTGAGATGGCCAGGGGAAGCACGCAGAGGCTCAGAAAGCTCTTCACCCAGTCGAGGACCCAAAGGCAAAGCTAGACAAGTCAAAACGCACCGTCGCGGGCTTAGTTGACTTGCAGACTGCAGATGCATGTCCGGGCGGCATGTCCCTTAATGAAACTTGATGACTTAGTGCAGTGACGCGAGTGCTTTCGTGATGCAAGCACCGGCGCGCACACACACACACACACACACACACACACACACACACACACACACACACACACACACACACACACACACACACACACACACACACACACACACACACACACACACACACACACACACACACACACACACACACACACACACACACACACACACACACACACACACACACACACACACACACACACACACACACACACACACACACACACACACACACACACACACACACACACACACACACACACACACACACACACACACACACACACACACACACACACACACACACACACACACACACACACACACACACACACACACACACACACACACACACACACACACACACACACACACACACACACACACACACACACACACACACACACACACACACACACACACACACACACACACACACACACACACACACACATGCAAGGTGTGTAGGTGTAGGTGTAGGTGTAGGTGTGCGTGCGTGCGTGCGTGCGTGCGTGCGTGCCTGCTCAACGTGAAACTGCACATTGGTTGCCAAAAGCCCGCGGGTTGTAGCGGCACGGGATTCCGAAGCGGATCGCCCTGTCGTGCACCCCAGCTGTCAGGCGTCCGGATCCTCTTTCGCACCATCGAGGGGAGTCCTTTACTCCTTCGGCTCCGGTGTCCTGCTCGTGGCCCTCCTGATGTTGGGATTATGGGTTCTTCAACTGCGGCAGCACCATGCCGTTGAAGAGCTCCTCATGAAACAGGAGCCTTACCACATTGCGTTTGCACTGCAATGGCCGACTGCGGTCTGTGAGTGAATTGACTTTGTTCTCGTGGCATCTCGCATCGTCTGGACCAGGACAAGGCTCACATGCGGGAAGTGCGCCAACTCAACCAGCGATTGGAAGAGATGAGCGATCAGAAGTCTGTGCACCTTTGGCTTATGGCGTCTTACCAGTAGGGCTTAAGGGATCTAAAGGGCCCTTTGATTTTCTGTTTTGGGGGACTTTATTGTCACAGGTCGCAACGATGCGGTGTCAGGACCAAATAACCTGAGCAGGTTGGGCGTAGTCTGGGGATGACCGGTCAGCGCAAAGAACCTACACTCGGTGTTGCTCGCAACTTGGGGCTTAAGGGGCAGTTAAGGGACCCTTATCCCAGGTTCCAGAGGCGGGCGCGCGACCTGCAAGCCCGAGATTTTCAGCTGCAACTGTGAGTGTTTCGGGTTTTCATCATCTATCATCTAAGTGTTGAGCCCGGGACCATGACAAGGTATGTTCCAATTGCTACACTTCTCCCTACATTACAACACGGACCGATTCTTATGATAGGGACTAGACACTTCACACACCAAGAAGGCTGGGTTGAGACTGGAGGCTGGGGAGCTCCAGGTCGAGTTCAAGTTTCGGCATGGGGGAAAGCAGCGTCCAGGGTGTAATTATGTAAGTTTCCTCTAGGGCCCTAGTGGTGTTTGTACAGTGGGTCTCAATTACCCTCTACGGCCTCCTCTCTCCGCGGCCTCCTTAGCCTGAAAAGCTGCATGTGCGGCTTTTCGTGGTTGTTTGGTCGTTAGAGTGACGAATGCCGTTCAGTCGCGCTTGAATACTTAGTACTTAGTACCAAAGCCTCCTAAGCTGTCGGCTCCTGTAGTGATATGAGTAGAGCTGCGACATGTCGTGAATCCTTGCCATCTTTGTGTGAGTGTGAGCTAATTACAGGCCGTGGATTCCGAGACGTTGGCGGCGAAGCTGCAGATGCGCACGGAGGAGCTCGAGACGCAGTCCAAGCAGCAGGCTCGTGACGTTAACATTCCGCGTAGTGTTAAGTAATCGGTCTCCTTCTAAGTTAAGTTGCAGCGACCGAGTTCGGGCAACGCTCGCTCGTGCAGTACGTGGAGTTGTGAATTGCCCCACGCAGCCTTCCAGACCGAAAGCTGACCCGCAAAAAATAAAAGCCCGAGCCACCGGAACTGAGAGGGAAGCCTGTGGGAGCGTTTTCAAAAGGGTTCAGCACTGGGGGCCCCCTCAACCGTGAAACCCCAAACCGTAGCGACCCTACCTTTGTGCAAGGCCGTGGACTCTTCCACCCGCGAAAAGGCACTGCACGACCTGCAGGGTGAGCTCAAGAACGCCCGTGAAGTCCAGGCCTCAGAACTGAAGTCCGAAGTCTGCTCAACCCGAAACCATGGGGGCAGAAAAGCCCGGAACCTTGGTTTCTACACGGGACTCATGTTCGGCCTCCCCAACAACCCGGCGCATTCTACCTGCACATGCTTTGGACCCCAAGTGCTATGCTTCGGGATAGCTCAACTGGGTCTAGACCCGAAATCGTTCAAGCGTCGCTGGATGCTGCTGGAGAGTGAGCATCAAACCGACGACTTCCTAAAGCTTTCGTCGCCTGTAGTACCACCCGTCGTTTGGCTTTATAGGTATCCCTACATGACTAGAAGTATTATTCCCCCGGAGGACCGTTACCACTTGTCCGGGTGTGATTGTCAAAAAACCCTGACCCTAAACCACATTTGACTCCCTGCAATGCGGGCTTCGTCCTTGCTAGGTAGGAGGGAAAAAAAGCCACATTTGAAAACCTGATGTCGGTCCGAGGAGCAGAATGCGACCGTGGCCCACTTTGTCGAGCAGCGCCTGGGAGTTGGATAAGACGTCGGTGTGTCCTTTACCGCCCTACTCTACTTACGGGGGTTCAAGATAGAGTCTCAGGGTCGGCTGCTTGTGGGGCTCTGGAGCAGAGTCGGAGTAATTACGGTGATCAGCGTTGTTCTTGCAGCTGACTTTCGAAAACTTTTGCTGGTGGCTTCCGCTTCGGTCGAAAGATGAAGCATTTCTGGGCCGCACAGAGCCAGCTCTAGCAGCAGTCACTGTCCAAGCGTCCTGTGACGTGGATGAAAGGTTGAGTCGGGATACCGGGATGCTGGCGGAGGCTGTAGAGCAAGATCGCGAGAACATGGAGAAGTCCAAAGCTGTCTTGACACTCCAGGCACGTGCCCTGACCAGCTGCTCGCCTTCACCAGCGTTTTTTTGTTGTTGCGATGCCGGCTGCACCAGACATGCGCCGATGTAGAAGCAGGCAAAGAGCAACGTTGAGGTAAACGTACATGCGAGGAAGCTTACTGTCTTGTGTTTTATGTAAGCACAGCACAAGAGAGCAAAACGGAAGCGGCCCAGTTGAAACTCGCCAGATTTCAACTACAAAGCCAGCGGCCACCAGTCAACGTGACAACGTTCTCTTGTTTTGTTTGTCTCTCTTTCTCTCTCTCTCTCTCTCTGTCTCTTTCTCTCTCTCTCTCTCTCTCTCTCTCTCTCTCTCTCTCTCTCTCTCTCTCTCTCTCTCTCTCACTCTCTCACTCTGTGTGTGTCTGGTCTCGGTCTTTGTCTTTGTCTCTGTGTCTCTCCCTCCCTCCCTCCCTCCCTCCCTCCCTCCGTCCCTCCTTTCTGTCCGTCGCCTTGTCTTCACGCAAAGAAGAGTTTTAGCTGCTCAAGGCATGGGCTGGGCACTGCTCACGAAGACAAGACAGGAAGTGTATGCTGGCCGGTACTAAGTTTCGAGAATTGAATGCTGCGAGGCCTTATAGTGGCCGCTTGCTTGTTACGATAGACAGTATGGCAGGAGGCGATAGCTGGCCTTCAGGTACACCTCGAGCGATGCACTGCACAGTCAGCAGTCGGAGGCAGCAGCAGTGACAGTAGCGGCAGTAGCAGCAGAAGTAGGAGCACCCGTAGAAATAGCAGTAGCCGTAGCCACTGTCGTCGTCGTAACAGTAGAAATGCTGCTGGTCTTGTTGGAGGTGGTGGTGGGGAGGTGGAGGTGGAGGTGGTGGTGGTGGTGGTGGTGGCAGCCACCATAGCCACGGAGTGTTTGCTGAGAGGAAGCACCAGCAAGGTGTTCAGACGGGTCTTGTGGAACTTGGCACGACGGCTCTCTGTTTGTAGGGGGCATCAGGTCAAAGCAAGCAGGTGGCCAACGGCAAGCGCATCATGGATGCATTGACAAACTGAGATGCTGGGATAATGCTGGAGAGATGTTTTGCTCGATTCCTTGAACAGCCTTGTCGACCGGGATTCGTCGAAACAGCTGTCCGTAGTTGGAACTGCAAATATGCTTGATCGTGCACTGTCTCCGACCTACCAGTGCTTGTTTGATCGGGTCGTAGCGTAAACAAGCCCAGGAGGGACTCCAATCTAGCAGCTCTAGAAACCCTAAACCTCAAACCCTAAACTCTACAGCCCCAGTGATTTATCGAGGTGAGATTCGCCAGCTTCGCCATGAGCTGGAGGATGCCTTATCATTCAACTGCTCAATAAGACGGCAGCAGACAGTTACATTGTAGCTGGAAGTACCGTGCTTGTCATCGCCTTGGCTCTGAAATTCTCGTGATATTACGAAAATGGTTCTTTCGGGGTTTTTCGACGGCCACCACCACCACCACGACGACGACGATAGTAGCAATTATAACGACAAGCTGAGAAGCATAAAGAACTCCAGCTCTGACGGTAACGAAAACGCTACTGGTACCTATAACAAAAACTATGTGTCATGTATCTCTAAGCTGAGCTCCAAGAATAAAGCAGAATCCAACCCCTTTTGCAAGCAGTTTAATCTTGCCGCTCAGCGCCAGTGGCAGGAGTCCAATTCGAAGCAGAAGCGCTTGCGGCAGGAGTCGAATTCGCAGCAGAAGGCTCTCAAGGAGATCCGGGCATCGTTGCCGATACTTTTACATTCGTTACCACCAGCGACCATGAGCTACCCGCGATGCCTTACCTGATGCCACGAATTCTGTGTATGAGACCAAGCATCTAACCCTGAACAAGTTTGTGTTGTTAGTCGCAGTACTTTGTTGTACCCGCAAAACGGCTGTTGGTGCGAAGCTCGAAGCTTTCGGACAAGATAGTGCTACTTCTTGCGTGCATGGGCGGACGGCCGGGTGATGTTGTGATCTGGGCTTTAGGCTGCAACCCTGCCTTCGAAATCTGTAACCACAACCATATTTGCATCGCGCGTGTGCGAACCAATGATAGTTCTGATGGCTGTAAGGCCGTGTGGCCTATGATCACAAGTGTGGCCAAGCGCGCTGTCTAGATGAACATGGGTGCTCGTATAGGAGCAGCAGTTTTCAGGGTGCCTGGCCCGTGTCAATATTCGGGTGGTTTGGGGCGGCGGTATGGAGCGATGGGGCAGGCTCAAGTGGAAGCAGACAGCATAGAGCGACAGCCGGACGGCTAAGGCCATAAATCGAGGCCTGGCCGACCAACTCTGAATGGTTCCCGAATCGGCACGCACGAAATCGGCAGCTGAGCTGTGCAGCAACGTGGGCATGTAGCAATGTAGCCGGGACTTTAGCTACGGTGGTGTCATCAGCATTAGCTACGCTGCCTGCCGTTGATTCGGACGTCAGTGGCCCCAGCTGTGCACGTCTGGTCTGGCATGGCAGAACGAAAGCCAGCGGCGTGTGTGAGAGGATCCCTTTCAATGACGGATCAGATGGGCATCCGAGAATCACGCCGTCCCGATCCGTCCCAAAACGAGCGCATGAACGGCAGATCTTGCAGGATCGAGCAAGCCATGGTGAGCATCACGGGCATCAGTGGGTGAAAGCAATCGATCCGACCGGAGAATCGAGCAACATAGCCGCACAAGTTTTGTTTGAGCACGTAGGTCCTTGACAAGATTTCGAATCCGTCCAGGCCACATCCACTGCTTTCGGTTCTCACGGCCGGGTGCAATCATCATTAGCATCGGCTGTGCAGGTTTTACCTGCATGGAACACCGACGGATGAGCGAGGAAAGTATGCGTGGATGCGTATAGGCACTGAATATGCCTAGTCAGCGGTGTCCAGTTTAGTTCAGAAGGTTCTCACAAGAGTGAGTTCGTTTGCTCACCCCATCCAGCCCAAGAACTGTGATTTTAGCCGCGCCTTCACAAAGAGCCGTGTTGTCTAGAGGAGCAGCTGGTCAAAGCGAGCCTCATGCAAAAGACCATCGTGGACTCCTCGGCTAGCTGGCAGCACAAGCTGCAGGCCATCTCTCTATTCGGATGTGCCCAAATAAAATTCACTTGTGGGCTTTGGGTGTTGATCCATGTTGATCCCACCCCCCAAAGTCTACTGCTGCGGTTACCACCACCGCCACAATGCCACAAGGCCATGCCTTTTACCACCACACCAGCGACAAAGCTTAGACTTTAAGACGATCACGAAATTGCCAGTGCTTCCGCCACCATGACAACGAGTGACGACAGCTGCTGTTGCTACTACTTCTTACTTCTTGTTGTAGTACTGCTGCTGCGGCTGCTGCTGCTGCTGCAGGAACAGCAGCAACAGTACTACTACTCCTGCTACTGTTACTGCTGCTGCTTCTGTTATTGCTGCTGCTGCTGCTGCTGCTGCTGCTTCTGCTATTGCTGCTGCTGCTGCTGCTGCTGCTGCTACTGCTACCCCATCTACTACTACTACTACTACTACTACTACTACTACTACTACTACTACTACTACTACTATACTACTACTACTACTACTACTACTACTACTACTACTACTACTACTACTACTACTACTACTACTACTACTACTACTACTACTACTACTATAATACTACTACTACTACTACTACTACTACTACTACTACTACTACTACTACTACTACTACTACTACTACTACTATTACTTCTACTTCTACTTCTACTTCTACTTCTACTTCTACTTCTTCTTCTACTACTTCTACTTCTACTTCTACTACTACTACTACTACTACTACTACATCGACCGCAATTCCTACCGCCACCACGACGACTACTACTGGTACTATTTCTTTACTGGTCCCACCATGTGACAGGCACTGGAGAATCAGAAGGAGGCTCTGAGGTTCGCATGCACGGGAAGATGTGGGTACATTAATCTGGCGGGAACTAAGATGTCGCTCACGCATTTCAGATTGGTTTAGGATAAGGTGTGTGTGCCAACATAGGCCGCATATTAGTGCATCTCACGGTACTTACTTACCTACGTCTTGGTGTTCCTGGCATCGAAATCCAGGGGTGGACCAGCCACGTGCAGTTTGGGCGAGTGTTGCCTTCGTGGGTGAAGATTCGGGTTCAGTCATTATCGACGAAGAGTTTGGAGTTCATGACTGATGACCCTTTCAACTGCCAATCCTGACGGAGCAACAGGCGTGATCTGGATGGTCAACGCGAAACTATGAGGATGTTTTCGCCAGAAGCTCAGCATGTGGCCTTGACGTTGTCTTGAGGCAATCCACATTTTTTGAGCTCCGACTGCATGGCAAGGACGTCCGCAAAGGAAAAGCTTGAATCCGCAGAGTTGGAGGCAGGGCAGGAGTGCTTGCAGCATACAATGATCGAAAACAGAGCTTGGCCGCAAAGGATATACTGTACTTGCACGGGAAGTTGCAGAGGAACTACAAAATACGACTACTGTACGAAGCAGCAAAGCCCCAGTAGCATGTTCCAAGAGTTCGAAGAAGCAGCAACGTTAGACTGGAAACAGAGAGTACAGATGGTGCGGAAGAGGCTCCGAAGAGGGGAAGCAAGGAGCAATAGCCCCGCAATACGCGCGGTACAGGGAAGGATCATGATTTTCACGACCACGACCACGAGCAGAAGCTCCGTGCTTGTGACCACCCTGGCGGTAACGAAGCTGTAGGTATGAAACCCCGAAGCCCTCAACAAAAAACCCGTGAATCGAACTCGAGCAAGGGTCTCGCCTCCAACCGACTATGCGAAACTTTGAACCCCTAAAGCTGGCTAGCTTCGAGGTCTTCCCAAAAGAATCTCAGTTCTTGAGACACCCTAAACCCTAAACCCCAAGAGTCTGATTCTCAGAGATGTGGTTCGAGGCAAAGAAGCGCGCCGGAGAAGCAGTCGGGAAACTGGAGGCCTTCCTTGCAACACCACGAATATATTGTGGTCGTAGCAGTCGCAGTCGCCGTCGTCGTCGTAGCAGCAGCAGGAGTAGTGGTCGTCGTCGTAAGTTGTCGGAGTAGTAGTAGTCGTAGTAGTAGTAGCAGCAGTAGCAGCAGTAGCAGCAGTAGCAGCAGTAGCAGCAGTAGCAGTAGTAGCAGTAGTAGCAGTAGTAGCAGTAGTAGCAGTAGTAGTAGCAGTAGCAGTAGCAGTAGCAGTAGCAGTAGTAGTAGTAGTAGTAGTAGTAGTAGTAGTAGTAGTAGTAGTAGTAGTAGTAGACCCGACTACAAAACCACGCCAGGCCTTCTTGCATTGTAGCTGCAGATGTAGTGTAGTTGTACTGTGTCCTACTGCATGTTACCTTGTAGTCCTGCCTTGCGACTGGGTAGAAGTAGCTGGCGCTTTGCCCTACAGATCACAGGCTTGCAGAGCCCTCCATGTCGTGATAGTGCGAATGTACTTGGTGTTTGGTTATCTTCTGAACCATGGAGATCTCTACAGTCATGTGAAGCCGAGCGAGACTTGTTGCCTGCAGCGCGGGTTCGCGAGAGTCCGACAAGTGGGAGCCAAAAAGTAGTAGTAGTAGTAGTAGTAGTAGTAGTAGTAGTAGTAGTAGTAGTAGTAGTAGTAGTAGTAGTAGTAGTAACAGTAGTAGTAGTCGGTAGTCGGTAGTCGGTAGTAGGTAGGAGGTGGGAGGTAGGAGGTAGGAGGTACAGTAGTAGGTAGTGGGTAGTGGGTAGTAGGTAGCAGGTAACAGGTAGTAGGTAGTAGGTCGTCGGTTGTCGGTAGTAGGTAGTAGGTCGTAGGTCGTAGGTAGTAGCAGCAACAGTAGGAGTCAGGGCATGTCATGGCGGCGTTATTGTTCAGGACAGCCGTGGGCATCACCACCACCGCCATCAGAACCACCGTCATTTTCCTCAGGGACCTCATCTGCAACACCATTCTGACCATGATCATCAGCTGCATCTTCCTCACATGTCTCATCGGAATCAACATCTTTGCTATTGTGATAGGCATCATCTCCATCACCCTAATCTTGAAACGATGTCAAGCAGAATCAAAAAGAGCTGCCATGTCCATGCATGAGCAGACACGAGCAAGACACACAAAGAAATAAGCAACGCGAACGAAGGAACGAATGCACCACGGAAGGCAGACACACCCAGACACACGCCAACACACCGACCCGCCCACACAGCATCTTCTCGAGGCCCAGCTGGCGCAGCAGGAGAATCTTGTGGAGAGCCCTTCGTGCAGCGACGTAAGCGGAAGTGCAGTTTGAAGTCTTGACTTTTTCGGGGTTTGGATGATGGGGTTTGCAGATGCTTGGAGAGAATTGATGCTCCGGGAGCCTTCAAGCAATGTCCCCTGAGCCGACGAAAGAAAAATCCCGAAGAACCTCCCAGAAATTGCCAGACTACGCCTTCTTTTGTCAGAGGGGCTCTTTCGTGGCTTTCTGGAAAGATGGCTTCTTGGTAGGAGTTTGCCGGAGTATTTTGTATCAAGCAACCCCGGTCTGACCCCTCGAAACATTTGTGGAACACATCGGTCGACCATCATTATTTGTACCCTGTTAAATCTTGTGCTTTACTGAGTTTTCGAGAAATCGCAGGCCACCGCTTAGGCGGATTCAGGGTTCGGGCAGATGAGACTCATGATATTGGATGCTCTGCCAGACTTAGGTAAGGCCATCCCGCATGGTTTGTATGATTATTGCGGACAGTTGTTGACGTCATTCATGAGGCCTGCTACAGCAGCTGCAGCACCGCACTCAGGAGCGGGATGCAGGCGCATATACAAACGACTCCCATAACTTTGGATAAGTGAAGCGGCTCACTGCAAGGGTTGACATCAAGATACATCCTTAATGTTGACTTCCTATCAAATAACCCCCGCCCCCCTTGATTGTTTGCTGGCCCCGGGTGGGGGATTGACTATTGAGGGGTGTCCGTCGGCGCTTGGTTTCTAAAGCTTGCGGTCCTTTCCTGGCCTGTAGGGGATTATAAATATGAAGTCAGCATTACGATGCTTTGTTTCTCGCGCATGGTGATGGTGACGATAAAGAGCATTATATGACGACAAAATCATGTCCAAGAGCCCCAGTATCCACACCATCGTTTTTGCAGCGCAGTCAGACCACTTCTTCCAACCATCGCAACCACCACCGCGCCATCTTGACCATCAAGGGCATAAGCATCACCCTCTTGTCCAGAATGTTTTTGTACTTCGGCATCTATCGTGAGTTACAAGAGTGCCCTGTCGTCGTCACTTAGTAATCGCATTTCTTTGTACCCTAAACCCACATGTCCGAGGCGTGAGAGCGTAAACCCTATAAACCCAAGATCCAAAACCCTCAACCCGTAACGGCGCCGACGTGAGCGGTGCCTCTGCTGCAGGCAAGCTGCGTTTGGTGCAGCTCCGAAAGCGAATGCAGGAGCAGGCGAGCTTGCAATATCAAGGTCAGATAGTAAGTACTCGAGATGATTCCGCTTATGGTCCCTTTCGAAATCTGCTTTCGTATGTCCTAAACTGCTATTCGAAGACTATTAAGGCCCTGGCTTGCAGTGCACTGGACCGTTGCTCGGTGTTATCTTGATAGATTGCTGCTGCGGTCTAGCTGGAGCTTTTGGCTCGTGCCCTGACATGAGCCGTTGGGTTGCGGCACCTGGGTGCCTTCTAATGGGCCAGACCCGAAGGTTCGCTAGCCACAAGACAAGCTGCAGCACAGAGGTTGGTCAAGGATTCCCTTCCTGTTCAAGCTCTCAAGCCACAACCTATGCCCTCGCCCCCCAGCAGTTGCGTCAGGAGGTCAAGACGCTTGAAGTGCAGCGCGATGCAATCAGCCAGCGGTTGGAGCGTTTCCCCGATCTGGACGACCAGGAGGAGGGTCTCGTGTGATGACCTGAGCTTCGATGCCCTGTCTTGGCCTAAACGTGGTGTGTAGGGCAGGGGTTTAGGTCTCGCGTTTACGATTTTTGCTGTCTGAGGCCTGGTGAACCCGAAGTGCCGGCTCACCTTCGTGGTCAAGCCGGCTTTCATGGCCAGTCCCTGGCAAAATTCATTTCATCCACCGAGATTGCGGGTTGAGGCCACCATAAAAGTCTTGTGGTGCAGCTTTGCTTTCTATCGTACCGTTTCAACTTATCCCTGCTGTAGGTTGGTCTCGAAAGATGCGTTGCGAGAACAAATGTTGGATTAGAGTGTTGCGGTCTCTGAGCTGTGGCTTCTCAACTTGCAAATGAACGGCATTTGTCATCGATTTTGTGAGCAATGACTGTCGCGCCCGTGGCTGGGGCCAGCGCCCGATCGAAAAGCTTCTTCAGGGGTCTAGTTTTGAAGAGGGCTCAGGCTTCCATGAGTTTGCGGCTCGCTCCTGATGTCCGATAGCACCCCTGAGGAGAAGACATCTACTTCGGCTGGAGGACTAGCGGCTGGGAGGCAAGCCAGGCGTGACAAGGGCTTAGGATCGACACGTAGGTGCATTAAACATTGGCTTCCGTGACACATCCATGTGTGCCGAGGAAATCCCGCGAAGACCAGCTGCTCACCAAGCCCGGAGTGTCGAAAAAGGTGTGTTTGCCTTCCACAGCTGGGTGCCTGATGTTGAAGTTGCCGCGTCGCAAGCACCACAGTGGGTACAGAACGGAGCAGGCAGCACTACAGAGAGACTTCTACCTATCTACGCACGATTCCACTTAAATTGATGAACAGGTCTATTCATCTATCGAACGATCTATCTCTGTCTGTCTGTCTTTCTGCCGGTCTATCTCTCTGCCTGTCTCTCTACTCGTCTATCTCTCTGCCTGTCTATATCTATCTTCCTACCTACACAAACAATTTAACGTTTTGAACGTCTTCATTGTATATTGGGAAGCGGATGGAACAAGAACCGAGGATTTGCAGGCGGGGAAGTGTGCGGCCAGCTCTCTAGCAGCACGTGCCGCGGGCTGAGGGGACGGCCAGCCCAAGGTGTTTTGAGTTTCGGGAGTTTTGGAACTAATTAGGATTCGAGGTCCGCTTGAATACTGGGGAGGGGCGGAAGAAGAAGAGGGAGCACAAAGCAGGACCCGAGCAAGGGTTCGCGGTGCAAGCTCGCCGCCCAAGCCATTGCCCAAGCCATTGTCGGATTGCCTAATTACCTAAAGGACCTATATACTATTTTGTGTTCCTTATTATAATCATAGCATAGTCACTACTTAAGCCCCGTATATTACAGCTGTGGCTTGAGCATCTCGGCTGAGGTGGTGACTTTGCTTGACAGGCCTGGGGAGGCCGGACCAGCCTTGTTAGGTGTCGTGTAATGTAGGAACCTGATTAAGAAACCCTGGCCCTATAACCCCCCAATATATTAGGATTCATGAAAGGAACCGTAATAATGGCCCAAGGTTTCTTAATCAGTTTCCTACATTAAATCGGGTTTAGGGTCCAGGCTACCGACGTCAACTGCCAGGTGCCGATCATCACGATCTGCTGCGACATGCCACGGGCCCAATTCTTGAAGGGCTTCTCTGGCATTCAGTGCTCAGGACGTGAATCCTGAGCTTGGCGGCTTGGCCCTTCAGATACGGCGCTTCAGGGTAAAGGCTCTGACAGTATAGTTACTATGCCGATGAGGGTCGACTGGATGCAGCATGGAGGCAAGGTGTGGATGGTGACAGAAACGAGCTCAAGTTACTTCCCTGCACACTCTTACAGATGCTATGGGCATTTGCCGGTCTAAGCCGGGTTATCTCGAAGGTCCGGGGAGCTCTTTGCGATGTCCTTTTACAACACCGAGTTTCAGAAGCTGCAGCAGGCCAGGTCCTCCTCGGGGGATGGGCCCTCGTGGTGTCCGTTTAACTCCACAGTGACTCAGCTCAAAAGGCCCGACACCAGAAATTTCTCTCAATAGAGTGGCCTAAATAATTACCTATGCTACTTTGCTGGTTTCTTTGTCTTAGCATTATAGTATGATATACCCCCAAGCCCTATCCTAGTTATTGAGGCCCCTATATTATTCGGTGGAGCGAGTAGGGCCTGAGCTCCACGAAGCCGAAGCCCGAAACTTGAGAAAGGCGATCGTCCCCTGCAAGACAGTGCTGGCAGCCAGAGCCCCAGTGCGTTTTATCCAAACTCATTGACGGTTCTGTCGTGCTTGCCTTGGTGAGCGCCCAATTTTAGACGGACCTCGTCGACTTCTGTTTTGTTCTCTCACATCACTGCCGCGCTTAGGTAATACTGTAAATCTTAGTAGAAGCAATGTCAACAGATACATACCTTCCCGTGCGCCCCCTATGATCATTATCGTGCATACTCGATGTGCTCCAAGCCCTGTGCCGCAGTCCTCGCTTGGCTTGGGATGCGTTCGTGTGGACCAGGCCAAACAACAGCCGTTTAGGCTCCAGCAATTTGACTGTCTGTGCCCCCTACCTTGCTGCCCTTCGCTCCCCCGTTGCCATGGCTTCCCCATCAGACATGCTTCGGGACTTTGAGATGCTGCGCGCGCACCTCATGGCGGTGCTCCGTGCGCATGAGCAGGGCGCCGAGAGGGTCGGCTCTCCCCGATCGGCTTGGACCGGTGATGCAGCCGGTGAGAGCGAAGGCCCGACTATTCTGCCGAAGAGCGTGCTTGGCCTCATGGACCTGATTGAGGAGTACAGCTTGAAGGGACAAGCAGTCTTCCAAAAGATCGCCGACTATGTTGCCAAGATGGCCCCCAGTGAGCTGCAGGTTGCTGGTCGCGTTCTCATGGATACGTCGCTTCAGGCAGACTTGGCAGAGTCCCACCACCGTCTCCGAGAAACCAAGGCCGTGGTTTCGCACGAGGATGACCAGAGCGATCTCGCCAGCCGCACCTGGAAGTTCCTCATGAAGAAGATGGTGGCAGAAGGTGTGAAGCCCGAGAAGATTCGCGAGGCTTTGGCCAATCAGAAGATCGAGCTGGTCTTGACCGCGCACCCTACGGAAGCCCAAAGGCGAAGTGCGCTGAAGAAGCACGAGGACATGCTGACCTACTTGCAAAGGTACGACGGCAAAGACTCGCTTACACCAGGACAGCTGCAAGGCCTCGATGACGATATCAAGGCCGTGCAGTGGAGTTGCTGGCGCACGAACACGGTGCGACGCACCAGGCCAACTCCAGAGGGAGAGGCGCGCAATGGCATGCTGGTCATCGAGGACACTGTTTGGAAGGCGGTGCCGGAGTACTACCGCCGCATCGACCGCTGCTTGAAGCGAATTGGCCAACCGCAACTTCCTTACGGTGCGGCGATTCTGAAGATGAGCAGCTGGATGGGAGGAGATCGTGATGGCAATCCCAATGTGACGTGGCACACGACCAAGCAAGTGGTGACACTGCTTCGCTGGCGCATCGTGGAGCTGTATTACCGCGAGGTGGATGAGTTGCTCTACGAGCTGAGCATGACGGGAGAGACCAGTGAGGAGCTTCAGCGAGAGATCGAGGCTGTCAGCAGCATGTGGTCGGCCCCGACGGTGCCCGGAGGCAAGGTTTGCCGCCCCGACGCTCGCAGTGGCGTGCACTGGAACTTCCACACGGGCGTGGCCGCCGACGAGCCCTACCGAAGGCTTCTGATGGCGCTGCGCAGGCGCTGCTGGCGAACGAAGAAGACCATGGAGGCCATGTACATGGGCAGCGACCCGGAGCCAGACTTCCAGAAGGAGGTTCTCACCTCCGTGGACGAGCTGGCTCGGCCACTGGAGATCATCTACCGCTCTTTGGTGGAGAGTGGCGATGAGGCGGTGGCCAACGGCCGACTCCTCGATCTCATCCGCCGCGTCCGCACCTTCGGCATCAGCATGGCTTGCCTGGACGTGCGCCAGGAAAGTGACCGTCACTCCGAGGCTCTGGAGGCGATCACCGAGTTCTTGGGCCTGGGGAAGTACACTTCCTGGTCCGAGCAGGAGAAATGCGACTGGCTCGTGAAGGAGATCGAGTCGAAGAGGCCCCTCCTGCCCGACGATCTCGAATGCAGCGACATCGTTAAGGAAGTCTTGGCCACCTACAAGACCATCTCTGAGTTGCCCATTGAGGCCTTGGGCGCCTACTGCATCTCCATGTCCCGGGCTACTTCGGATGTCCTGGCTGTGTGCTTGTTGCAGAAGATCGGAGGCATGAAGAAGTTCATGCGCGTCAGCCCCCTCTTCGAGACACGCGATGACCTGATCAATGCCCCGAAGGTGATCGACGCCGCCTTTAGCGTGCCATGGTACAAGAATCACATTCAGGGCAGCCAGGAAGTCATGTTGGGCTACTCCGACTCTGTGAAGGATGCAGGAAAGTTTGCCTCTACCTGGGAACTGCATGTGGCGATGGAGAAGATCCTGGAGGTCGGCAAGAAGCATGGTATCAACGTGACCTTCTTCCATGGCCGCGGTGGCTCCATCGGACGTGGCGGTGGCCCTCCTCACCTCACTCTCCTGGCCCAGCCTTCAGGCTCCCTGGAGCGAGGTCATCTGCGCTTGACCATCCAAGGTGGGAGTTTCCAAAATTAAGGGTACCGGGTACCTTATTTTGGGGTCCTTATAAGAAAGGATCCTACCATTTAGGGTGCCTCGTTTTGGGGTACTTATAATGAGGATCCTAAGTACTATTCAGGGTGCTATGTTATAGTCCCCTAGTTTTCGGAAACTCCCAGGTGAGACCATTGGCCGGCACTTTGCCAGCGCCGAGGTGGCGGAAAGGACGCTTGAGCGATACTCCACGGCTGTGCCCTAGTAGCCTTAGTAGCTGAGTTTATAAGCTTAAAAGTAAAGTTTTGGGATAATGAAGCCAGGTTAAATTTTTGGGGATAGTGAAACCCTCTTAAAACTGAAAGTTCAAGCTTTCTTGGGCTTATGAACTCGGCAACGAAGGTGCTGAAGCACACTTTGACCCCACCGCCACTCCCAAGCCCGGAGTTCCGAGCAGCCATGCAGGAACTGGCCGACATCTCCGCGGAAGAGTACCAGAAGACCGTGTTCAAGAGCGAGAATGATATCTTCGTCCGCTTCTTCCACACCTACACCCCCACTTCCGAGCTCGGACAGATGAACATCGGAAGCCGCCCTGCCAAGCGAAGGGCCTTCGGAGGCATTGACACGCTCCGGGCCATCCCCTGGATCTTTGCCTGGACCCAGACTCGATTGCTTTTGCCGGTCTGGCTCGGCAACGGCCTCGCCCTGCAGAAGTACATCGATGCCGGGAAGCTGCCCCTCCTGCAACAGATGTACAAGGAGTGGCCTATGTTCCAGTCCATGCTCGACCTCATTGACATCGAGCTCGGAAAGGCCCAGCCCGACCTGGCCAAGCATTACGAGACCAAGACGTTGAAGGAAGAGGACTTGAAGAAGTTGGGCCAGCATCTGCGCGACGGTCTTCAGCAAGCCACTACCAACGTCCTCAAGGTCAAGAACAGCGACAAGCTGCTCACCAAGGACCCCATTGTGAAGCAGTCCATCGCCATGCGCCGGCCGTTCCTCGACATCTCCCACGTGATCCAGGCCGAGGTGCTCCAGAGGCTCCGGGATGCTCAGGCAAAGGACGAGGAGCCGCCGAAGGAGCTCAGGGATGCCATGATCATCTCCATCCAGGCAGGTTCGATATTCAGCCTAGAGAAGTCAGGGTGTCTTCTGTTTGAGACCTAAGCAACGCCACAGGCCATCGCCGCCGGCATGCAGAACACCGGCTGAGGGGGAAGACTCGAGAGTTTACGTGGCAGGTCTGGAGGGCCTCGCCATTCTCGTAGCCTTTTCGCCCAATCCAGTAGGGGGCCATTGAAGACACTGGTCTTGAGTCTAGTTTTTCGATTAATGTGCATATTTTGCGTCTCCGTGGCTGGGTGTGGAAAGCCATTATTTTTCCTGGTTGGCTGGGTGGAGCCCAGATTCATGGAGATGTTCCGCCAAGGGCTTCGGTTGTTACCGGCCGTTTAAGAGACTTTTCCAGCAGCAGCGGCAGGAAGTAGACAGGCAGCAAGAGTAGTGATGGTGTGGTTGTCCAGATTAATAACCTCAAAAAGGTGAGTCGTCCTTTGTTTTTGATTACTTGCTGCCTGGCTTGCACTGTGAAGCCACAGGGATGGTCAGCCTTAGAGCATGGAGCTAGGTCAAGCGGTCAGTCGTGGTGCTTCTTGTAGATCCAAGGCGCTTATGTTTTGTATTGATGGCTTCCCAGAAAGTTCACATCCTGCAATAATAAAACACACAAAAGCTGAGTGTAATTCACATGCGACAGTCTCTCTTCGGCTCTGGTGGAGGTCACAGAAATCATAGGGTCCAGGGCTTCTAGGTGCAAAGGAGGTGTCGAGGAGCTGAAGTGCTGATCACAGACTCGGTCTTCATGGCCTCTCCGACAGATGCCGAAGGAAAAAGCGTGCTCAGAAGCATCAAACTAAGCAACCACAGCACAAGAGAAACAGCTCTAGATCGTGGAAAGCTATGATTCCCCAAAGCCCCGGACAGCAAAACGATAAGAAACCAGGTGGAGAATGCGAGTCTTCGGCAGATCGAAGTGACGATTCGTGGGCAGCCGGGTTCCTGGCAACAGCTGTCGCCATGCACGCAGCCCGTGCATTGGGAGCTCTTGTCCCCAAGACTCAGACTTCGCTTCTTAATCCTCCAATCATGCTGTCTGGGAATTAGGGTAAATTATTGGGGCCTTTGGGGACTGATTTCGATGCACACGAGTTTGTCACGGCCCAGCAGCCGTGCCAGAGCTACCGTAGTATGATCACCGCTTAAGTCTACCCACTATCTCCGGATGAAAGGATGAGTCTCTCTCGCCTTCTACCTTGCTCTCGGAACAGGCTTTGGTGCTATCCCTCTAGACGCCATGGGCCCTGAGCCTAACCGTAGCACCGCCCGCCCAAAAAAAGTCTCTCCGAGATGCGAACCTCCTGCCTCTCTGAATTCGGAGGCCCTGAGCCCAAAGCCTCCAACCAAAGCCCCTACGTAAACCCTGACTTATGGGAGTTTCCCAAAATAGGGGACCCTCATCTAGTACCCTGAATAGTAGGATCCTTATTCTAGGGAACCCTAAATAAGGTACCCCCAATTTTCGGAAACTCCCAGAGCGCTTGAAGCCCTGTCAACCTGTGAACGAGTGTGTGAGTCGAAAGCTTTCGTCTGGCGAGCCCGAGTTATTCCGAGTTGCGAGAGCGTAAACCCAGGTTAAAGTACTCCTGCGCCGAAGCCTCGGCAGCTTTGCGTTGCTCTAGTGGAAACTTCCGAGTCTGGGGGGCTGCAGTGCCTACGAAACGGTTTAAGATGGTTCAGAGTTCCCAACTGGTGAGGTGTATGTTCACAGCAGTGACAGCAGGATTCAGAGGTCTTCCACTTGCTGTGTTTTTGGTCGGTGCTCCGGCACCGACTACATACTACTATTTGGGGGGGCTCCTTATTATAATTCTGTAAAAGGTGGCCCCAAAACCCTAGGCCCTATTCTAAATGCCACAGTTTGAACAACAAACACGTGGCTGTAGTCCAACTGTTCAACCGAGACACCCTGCAATGCGGGCTTCGTCCTTGCTAGGTAGGAGGGAAAAAAATATAATTATTAAGGCCCCTATACTAGACTCCTATCCCCAAAACTCGGGTCTGGAGCGATGTTCGGGGCTCCACAATATGGGTTTCGCTGTAATCGGGAATTCGGGTTTCGGATTTGGGGTTTCAGGGTTTGAGGTCTAGCTTTGTTTTGCCTGATTCTGAGATGAGTGACGAAGTGTCGCCCGCAGGTGGCTGTTGGAAATCCTGCAGAGGTTTGGATCATCGGGGCCTCAGCAGGTGCACGGGCTATCGGGGCCTTGAGCTTTGGGTTAAATGGTTCCTGGTGCGGGATCGTAAATCCATGTGTGCTGACAAATTTGGGTCTCACGGCATTTGCAACCTCTCTTGCAAAATCTTGGCCGCAACACCAAACCGGCACGACTGTAGATTGGAACAGCACCTTCAATCACACTCAACCGGAGACTGGGAGTCACGGAAAGGAGCACGCCGAGGTGGACCGTTGTGATGCGAGGGTAACTTCCCGGAGTGAGTAAGTTCACTGTGGCAGCTCTCAGCTGCGAAAGCGACGACTGCTGCTCCAACTCCGGCCTACTACAGTCACCAAGATTTTCCCACTGTCCTAGCTTGTGTCGGCAGGCGTTGCGAGCGCCTCGCTCGCATGTGCTGCTGGTGGATCCGTGGCGCCTTGACTGATAAGCAGCCGGATGTCGGTAGTCACAAGTAGCAGGATTTGGACCAACTGGAAGCTGGGCGGTGGTCAGCTGCTGCCTGCTATGATATTGTCTTGTCTTGTCGCCTGTGAGGTTTATTCCGTTGCTGCCGATCGCTCGATGGAGGAGGTGACGGCCCGATGTTGGGAGAGCTGTTGAGAGTACAGTTGCATGATAGATTGTTAGATTATTGTCATGATGGCACACTGGAGAATGCACATCATCGTTCTTCTTTGCCTCGGATGCGGCACTCCACTTTGGAGGCATGGTCAGGGTTCCGCAATGTTCCAGGTGCGGGATTCGATCGCGTGGATGCTGTCAGGAGTGCAGCTTCTGAAGAGTCCGCCAGTGACGAGATTCCAGTTTTCTCTACAGAAGCATCATAGTAACTGCAATTGCGACTGCAAGGTGGGCAACATGATAATGCTACCGGTACGCACCCAGGTTCGTAGGCTTGAATCGTAATGACGACGACCGACCCGAGAGACCTCCGACCTCATCCGGCTTGTCCGGACGTGAGAGCGCAATACCGGGGCCTTAATAACTAGAATAGGGTTCAGGGGCCCATGATACTAGAACTATAAAATGGGTGACAAAATAAAATTAGGAACCCCAATTATTCAAGCCTTTAGATTTATCTAGACGACAGCCCCCGGACTATCGTAGGGGCCCGAGATACACAAATGCCACGAACAATCGCGATCATCGCATCTTCGATGCCGCTTACTTCGACCCCGCCTCGGCAGGCAAAATCCAGCTCCCGCGAGGCTTGCTTGGGACAAAGGGGGGCTGTGTTATTGGGGTTTTATTCTGTTTTCGGGGTCTAAAGCCCCTGTATTATTAATTCCGTGGGGCTCTGAATTGTGGAGGGAGGCCGTAGGCTCAGGCTGGGGTCACAGAGATCCAGATTCGCACCGGAACCATCCGGCCCAAAGCCCCCCTTTATGGGAGTTTCCGAAAATTAGGGCTACCTTATTTTGGGGTGCTACTAATAAGGCTCCTACTATTTTGGGTACTACATCAGGATCCCCTATTTGCGGAAACCCCCTTGTCTTCGGAGGAGGCCTCCTCTGGAGTATGCGGCGAGTTGAGCGATGTTTGATTTTGAACAGGGGGCTGGCACCGCCAGGTTTTCCTAATTGCTGGGATCTGTTGTGTCTTAGGGCACGAAGATTTAGGAAGTGGGAGTTCGGGGTGCATCACTTTTTCACAAGAGACAAGAACAAAAACCCTCAATCCTTCAAGGTCCGGTGAAAATCCTAGAAGGCCTAAGCCCATGAAATCTTGGGGGACGAAGATTTAGGAAAGGGAGTTCGGGGTGAATCACTTTTTCGCACTTTTTGAAAAGGGAAGAACAAACACCCTCAATCCTTGAATACCCGGCGAAAGTCCTAAATCCCAGACCCTACTTGTGTTGTTCTTGCAGTGCGACTTGGTCAGCTGGGCAGGCTGAAAAAACCCTTAAACCGAGGAGGAGTCACACGCCAGGTCTGCGGCCAAAGTGTGGAAGAGTGCGAGGAGATATTATCTCGAGCTGCAGCAGACTGCCCAGATGGAGATCAAGAAATCCTTGGGTAGGGTTTGGGCTTACAGATTGCTGGTCAAGCTCGTCCTTCAGTTGTCTTGTTTTATCAGGGGCCAAAGAGGAGTAATACACAATTTACCAAATAGGGTGGGCATATAGAGATACACATAGAATGGCGACAGTGAGAATAGTAGGAGTAAAATACTGATAGCAATGATAACAGTAAGAATAACCAGCAATAGTAGTAGTAGTAGTAGTAGGAGTAATAGTAGTAGGAGGAGCAGGAGGAAGAGCAGGAGGAGGAGGAGTAAGAATAAGAGGAATAACAAAATCAGCTAAGGCCGACGGAGGACGGGCGGCGGTGCTTCGCGCCCTGGTCTGGCGCTGAGAGTGGTTGGCATTGGAGAACCGGGCCCAGGGTTTTCGGTTTGGGTACTTGGGGTTTAGGGGTTTAGGGTTGATTCCTCTCCTTGCTTTGAAGAAGCGGGGGAAAGGGGGGGCTCTTGCTGTAACCGGGCAGCTGGACAACGAGGCCTGCTGCAAAAGGGGTTTAGGGTGTAGGGTTTCGGCTCAAGGAGCCTTTCCTTGGGAGGGACTATACCCGTATCTTGTTGGGAAGGGCCACATTCCGAAGGCGATCGTCTTCTCTTTGCAAGGCCGAAAGCTCAGAGCCCACACCAGCTCGATGCCACGAAGCACACAGAACTCCTGTTGAGCGTAGAGTTGCAGTCCACAGAATTTTGCAACAGTTTCCGTAAAGTTTAAAGCCCGAAGGAACCACAGGGCCTGAGGCACTAAGGCCCTGAAGACCTCGCCAGCCTCGTTGGGCAAGTCCGAGTGCCAGCGCCGCAAGACACCTCGACAGCCTGCAACTTTCGATGGACGCGTCCCTCGACTTCCCCAAATCTTGAGGCTAAAAAGCCCTAAAGCCCAGACCCTAATCCCTGAAGTATCCTAACGCCCTCCTACCCGGAAGCCCTTCTTGCCAAAATGTGCGATGGACGCTGCCTTTCATAGAAAGGGCGCTGGTTCGGGCCGGGACCTGCTTGGAAGTGTCAGGGCGGCACTCCGTTCTCGTAGCTGGTCCCTGGCTGTGGCCCCGTCGCACATGGACTTCGGAGGATTGTTTTGGTTCGCTGGGATTCTGGGATCAAGCGTTTTTTGACGGGCTTGCCGAGTCCCAGGTGTCGCTGCTGCGAGATGCCTGGGAGGCGAGGGAAGCGCCGAATGCAGCTGCCTGCAGCTGCACTGTCAGCACACTTATCAAGGAAAGGAGGTGAGTTTGATCAGAAATAGTCACAAGTTCTGGAGGTTGCTGCTCACCATGCCGTAAAGCGAGAGGGAGAGACCAGTCAAGCCCCTCTGCCTTCCCCTCGCCCCAGGTGGCAAGACAGCTTGTTTCTCTGGAGGGATCTTGCAGAAACGGAGCATCTTCCCCTTGATGTGGCAGCTTGCAGCATGTTGGTCAGTGCCTGCTCTAAAGCAGAGCAGTGGGAGCAGTCCCTGGAGATTTTTGCCTCTGCCAAGAGGCTGGACGAGATGGCCTACTGTGCCGGCATCTCGGCGATGGAGAAGGGCTCTTTGTGGCAACCTGCAATCTTTATGCTGGAGAAGATGGAAATGGAGAGCCTGCAGTTGAGCGTCTTCTCCTACAGCGCCGCGATCAGTGCCGGGCGAGCTTTCAGCTGTTGGCAGCAAGCGCTGCAACTGATCCAGGGCATGGGGTCCAAGCAGATTCTTCCGAACACGGTGGCCATAAACGCAGGGATTGCGAATTGTGAGCGAGCTGGCAAATGGATTGCGGCCCTGGCCCTATTCGAGCTGATGCTCATTTCCGACTTGAGCCCCTCTGTGGTAACTCTGGGCTCTGTCGTGGCGGCCTGTGGCCGTGGTCAGCAGCTCACAGCAGCCTTGGCAGTTTGGGATGCCTGTGCTGCGATGGGGGTCCGCCCCAGCCACGAAGCATGGTCTGCCTTGGTCGCGGCATGTGAACGCTCTGGCGAATGGCAAAAGGCCCTTCTTCTCATGGAAGAGTCTGGCTCTAAGAGCGGCTTCATTCTGAGCAGTGTCGTGAGTGCCTGCACTGGGGCCCAGCAGTGGGAGCGCGCCTTGCATCTCTTGAACCGCCAGGATCTCTTTCGGGATCCTATCCTGTGTAGCACCCTGGTGTCTGCATGGGAGGCTGGTTCCCAGTGGGAGTCTGCGCTGCAAGCCTTGTGTGGAATAGAGGAGAGGAGGCAGATGCCCAATGCTATTGCACGGACTTCTGCCATAGGAGCCTGTGAGAAGGCACAGCAATGGGAGAGGGCCATTGCACTCTTGCGGGCTTTCGATGGAGATTCGATCGAGGCTGACATCGTGGCTTTTGGTGCTGCGATGAGTGCCTGCGAAAAGGCCTGGCGGTGGGACATGGCCATCGACCTACTGGTTCAGATGAGCATCGCAAAGATAGAGATGAACACTATCGTCTACAACTCCGCCATAAGCGCCTGTGGTACAGGCCGCAAGGTTGGCTTGGCCTTCCTGCTCCTCGAAGAGATGCTTCAGACTTACGTCTTCCCGGACACCGTGACGTACAGCGCTGTCATCACCGCATGTGAGAAGACCCATGAGTGGCAGCTGGCTCTTTCTGTTCTGCAGCGCATGCGTGCCGCCGGCACCGAGCCAAACACCGTGACTTGCAGTGCTGCGGTGTCTGCCTGCGAGAAAGGGCTGAGCTGGAGGCATGCTGTTGCACTCCTGGCCCAGATGCACGTGGCTTCCTTGGAAGTCAACGAATTCACTTTCAGTGCCGCCATTAGCGCCTGCGAGAAGTGCAACTGCTGGGAGATCGCCGTTCAGCTCTTCTCGGAGGCCCAGGGCTCGGAGTCTTCCATTTGGGTGCACAACGCCTTGGCCAGCGCGCTCGAGAAGGGTGGACAGCTGGAGAAGCTGCTCTCCCTCTTGAAAGGCACGGGGCCCGTAAAGCTAAAGTACCAAGATGGATATCTTATGGCCTTATGGTTTCATTCAAGATTCTGGGGCTTCAGTCGTCAAAACCCCGAAGCCCCACACCTCAAAGCCGTGTACATCGACCGGAAGTGTGGATGCTTGAAGCCGCCGTCCATGCAGGCATGTGGCAGGCCGGACCACGACCAGACCTTGCCCCTTTGAGCATGTTCAGCCGTGGGTGCTGCGATATGTTGTTGTATGAGCCACACACACATTTTTTTTGTTGGCAGATGTGTTCATGACAAGTTTTAGAAGAGAGGTGAGGTTGTATGAGAACAATGGGGGCTTCTTGTAGTTTAGTCTGGGATGCCCGTCGTGTGGTTTAGCCTGCAAAACGATCAGAAGTAAAATGCAACGATAACATTTGAATATGTATTACATGAGTACTATGACCAGTCCTACTACGATTACTACTGCCTACGGTCTTGCTACGGCTATGTGCAGACTGAGGCTTTAGAGCCTGTGCTTGTGCAAACTGAGGCGCCCCGGGTTTGAGAGGCTGCACTTGTGCAAACTGAGGCTTGTGAGACTGCATCTGTTTGTGCAGGCTGCAACTCTGCAAACTGAGAAGTCTTCAAAACCCGAGACAAGTTGAGTGTCCAAACCGATAGCAAGAAATGATACCTTAGGTTTGACAGAGGTGCCAGTTGAAGGACGTGAGCTACCCGGTCCTCGTGCCAGCTAGCGAGTTGAAGTGTTGTTCACCTGTTGTTGAGACCTTTGGACATCCTGAGATACGCAACTGTATATGAGCCACCAAGAGCCAAGCCTGTTTCCCGTGCTTGTCACTGCGATCATCCTTGATATCTTGTAAAACGATACGGAGTAAAAGCCGACAATAAGGGATTCATAGTGGCTTTTTTGTGTAACCTCAGGCGTCTTGAATTCTTGAGCCCATACAGTAGTGTAAATTCAGATGTGTAGCTGCATTTGTTGCTGCCTTTCCCGTGTGAAGAGTCAGGTTACACACAACGCTGCATTGGCCGCCTGCCGACGTGCTTGGAGCTGGGACACTTGCCACCGTGGGTTGCATGTACCAGACATGTTGAAAGTTTGAAAAATGCCCAAAATGCCCGGGTGGATATAGTCCCTAAGGGGTCACGCCAAAGAACCGAAGCATGAAAGCCCATTGAGCGTTCCAAGGGCCTCTTCCAGCGTTGTACAGCTGCTCCCAAACTCAAACGTCTGAAGCAAGCAGTGCTTGCACAATAACTTGAACATGAAACTCGAAACCAGCGGGCTAAAAGTCATGAGAAACCTGCCCCCCGAAAGGGCAATCCTGGTCGGACTGATTTGTCATTTATTGGCCCCGTATAAGCCTCAAATTTGACATCCTGTTGTTGCTAGCCACAGCAACGCAAGGAGAATTCAGTCGCGATTTTGGGCGTAGCCGCTGCGCAGGGCGAGGCAAGGAGCAATCCACCTAGAAGCCCGAGAGGTACGACACCCTTTTTTATAGGCCTTTTTGTGGCTTTGTCTGTGCGAGAGTTTAGGGTTCGAAAGGGGTTTATTGCAGGGTTTGGGGGTTTTAGGGGCCTAAACCTATTCAGGCGATTGCAACAAGTCCTGATGCAAAAAAAAGGGTTTAGGCCCCAGCCCGTGACTCAAAAAAGGGTTTAGGGTTCGAGGCATCGAAGCGTTTGAAGAAGAGCCGGTATGGAGGCCGATGCTATCGCCCTTGAGGCGGCGATGGTGGCCTGTGGCCGTGCCGTGGTTCATCAAGACGGACAACTAGCATAGGGTATTGGGTTCATGCAAGCATAGAAATACATGTGGGAACCTTGAGGAACAACACGAAAATCAAGGGCTTACAAGATTCAGGGCTTTGTGATTGGGCCGGTCGAGCTTCCAGGTGAAGTGCGGAATCCTGTGTGGATCCGGCTGCTTGGAGTTTGCAGGCTTTGCAGTCGGCTACTCGAGGACCTGAGCTTTGCAAACTTCGGAGCCGACAACGAAGTGGCAGCCTTCAGCACTAGGTCATCCGAGTGTGAGTGTCCCGAAACTTCACCCTGAAACCCGAAGCCATAGAGCCGAAGACCTCAAGCAAAACAACGAAGCCCAACCGTTTCATCAAAGGCACTGGACAGCTTCATGTGCTTCCTGAGCTTCAGGCACATGGGGTGTTCAGGCTTCGGGTTCGCCTGAACCTTCATGGGTACGTTCAGGGCATTGGGGGTTCAGGGTGCAGAGCCCTAGAACGTTTGGCTTGCTAATTTTGATAAGATCGACTTTGAAAAGTTTTGCTGAAATTCCAGAGAAATACAAACACCTATGATGATGTTCATGTTTAGTTTCAGGATGTGGCTTGGGGGCCTACGGCACGTAAGTGTTGAGTAGCAATGCTTCTGAAGCTTCATGAGTTCTTATCGGATACCTCCATGCATTTGGGACCTTACCAAAGAGCCTGTATGATTCGTGGAATGGCACTGAAAAATCAGAGACCCTGCAGCACTCCAGGCGCAAGTTTCGGGCTCTTGTTTTCGGCAGACAGGGGGCATACGATCTGCCCTGTTTACAAGTATTCGTACATAACACACACATATACATATGTGTATATATATACACATGTATACATAGTCTGGCTGGTTATTGGTTTATGGTCCATGTCTCCGACGATTTCAAGCTGAGTCAAGCAGACGCCCCTTTTACAAGCTGCTGCAATGCTTTTTGCATCGTAGAGGCAACAATCGTGTACATCTGCGTGCTGGGTATCGTCCTCCAGAAACCCAGGTCCTTTGGTTACAAAGCCACCCGAATGTTCATCTGAGCTCTTTGTCCCTACTCTCGAATCAATACGGCTGTCCGCCTGAACATGCTCGAGCATGGCCTTTTGTCAACGTGGGTTGGATTGCTTGTAGCGAAATCATACTCGCTTTTCTTGGGGGTTTGTTGGGCCTTCCGCGGGGCCTTGTGCCTAGAAGCCAATCGCACAGCAGGTTTCGAGAACAACCGGGCTGCGGGCATAGGATGCCTAGTCTAGGCAGCGGCCTGATGTAGCAAGTTGTAAATTCCGTGTGCCAGCCGGATTCCGACATGGTTATTCTTCAACCACGTTCTTTACTCCCACCACTTTGTAAGATGTGGCGCCAGATGCTGCGCTTGATAGTTTTATTCTTCTTCGTGTAATGCTTTGAAACAGCCAAGCCAATCCAACTTTTTCCATTCACCCAAAACTGAACGTGCACTTCCCTCCGCCAGCTATTTATTTAGTAGTTGGTTGAGGTTTTTAGGGGCGGTTCCATCTGCTTGGGATGACTTCACGTCTGCCCGGAAGCATTTGGGCCAGCACTTTCAGGAGCAGTTAGTCTGCACGCCAGACAGATACGAGCTTCCGTGATAGGGATACAGGCACCAGCATCCTGACATCATGTCCGGCTGGTCTCTGAGGTTCCACTACAGGCTATGCTGTGAGAATTGTCTTAGATATAAGATATAGCACCGCCTAATCGATATTCACTGTGTGGGCACGTGTATCTATGCATGCACATGTGCACAGGTGCACGAGCATAAACAGGTCATTCAGCGGAGACTGCCATAGGCACGACAGAGAGGCTTTGATACAGAGATCGGCAATTCAGGGCCCACAGTCAGCCATGTGTCGCGCGAAGCAAGCACGGCGAAAAAGCCTTTGCTGAGCTATGTGCCACCCGAGGGCACTTGCAGCCCTTTTGGCCACCGCCTTGCCCGCTCCCTCCTTCGCGTCCCTCGGACCTGGTGATCCCAAGTGTTGGACTGGGCTGGAGGAGGAACGGCGGGAGGCTTGCTGTGAACATCCTGGGTCTGGAAGGCAGCTTGCATGCTGGAAGGGGAAAGGCCTCAACTTCGAGAGATGTTGCCTCGGGCTCAGCGACTCCTGCTACAAGAGCCAGTCACAGTTCGGTGAGGAACTCAAGGTGATTGAGCTTCTCGGATGGCGCACGAAGAGGGATGGGGTTTATGTCGAGATCGGTGCCTTGGATGGCTACAAGTATTCAAACACGCTCACCCTGCAGACGTGCCTGGGGTGGACCGGAATGTTGATAGAGGGCAGCCCGCGCAACTTTCAAATGTTGATCCGGAATTTGCAGTATATGGGCATAACAAACGTTATTCCCCAGTACGGGGCAGTGTGCCCACCTCCCATCACGAATACAACGTTTTCGAAAGGTGATATTCCGTATGTCGATGGAGACACAAGACACCTCTCCGAAACGGTGCGGAGCAGATTCAAACGCCTGCGCCAGCATGTCGTGGTGCCTTGCAGGCCCATGTCTTGGTATCTGAAGGCCCTCCCGAAGAAACATGTGGACTTCCTGGTCCTGGACGTTGAAGGCGCCGAGTTAGAAGTTCTGCTCACCATGAACTTTTCCGAGGTGCTGGTGGAATCCTTTATGATCGAGCTACATGATCTGACGCCTTTCGAGAAAGCACAAAGCTGGAAAATTCGAAACTTGATGGGCAATCTTGGCTACAAGGAGTGCCAGAATGCCAAGCTGTACTTGAGCGCCCTGTTCGTTCTTCAGAACGGGCGATATGCAAGCATTTGCTGAGCTGCATGTTTCGGAGGGCCCGCATCTTCCGAGAGGGTCCTGTGAAGGATGCTCGGTTGGCAGGTGCCAGAGGACAAGTTCATGGTATGGTATTCTGCAGGATTGCCACACTCAAGGCCCGAATGAGCACGATGACAAGCTGGACACATCAAGGTCCCATAAGCAGCAATATTTCGAGATCGAGTGCTGGTCAGCGAAAAAAGAAATTTGAAAGGATGCGCGTGCCCGACCGTCCGGGTAGGAGTGCACCTCCAACCTTCCAAAGCATTCCCTCTGCCCGGGCTTCCGGCGACAGCCGTCGTCGCCGTCGTAGTAGTAGTAGTAGTAGTAGTAGCAGCAGTCACCGAAGTGGTAGTACATAGCAGCAGAAGCAGCAAGGACAGTAGTAGCAATAGGACAGTAGTAAGCTTTCGGATTGACTGCTGTTGGAATCCGTGCATTCTGAGGGTGGGCTTGCGCTTGGCAGGGATGCCCTTTAGCCTTTCCCACTGTCTCTCGGCTTTGGATTTGCTGGGAAAGTAGCAGGTAGAGTCTTGTAGCCTCCCGGCAGGCAAGGATGATGCAGCTGTCGACAGGGGACCTGCGGACGGATGACAAAAAGCAATGCATGCACTATGCGGCGGAGCAGGAGAAGGAGCAGTCGCTGTTGCAGTACTCGTACTCGTTGTCGTGCTCGTATTGTGGTAGTACTCGTAATATGATGATGAGTAGTATTATTTGTAGTAGCAGCCGTTGACGTCGTCCTCTTTGTAGTCGTCGTCGTAGTGACGTAGTGGTAGCGGTAGCGGTGGTGGTAGTGGTGGTGTTGCTGGTTGAGATGGCAGTCGTAGCAGGAGGAGTCGGAGGAGGGGGAGGAGCAGCAGCAGCACCACCAGCGGCCGTAGGCAAGACAGTTCGCCTTAGCAGCATCAAGACAGAATGGTCCACAGCATATTATCTAAAGCGCAACTGCCGGCCATAATTGACTTGAGCTGTTATCACAACTAGTCGCAGGAAGCTGGAAGGCTTCCGCACGCATGAGTTGGTCTCGCACACGTTTTTCTGATGCGGGTGCACACCAGATGTAGTGGCAGCAGGCGACTGCTGGTACTTGCACAGCGTGATCCTTGCATCGATGACGGAGTTCCCATGCAGCGACCCCACCTCAAACTGTACGTATTCCCTTCATCGAGAAACCCCAGGCCTAGGTCCTATCCAGGCCCTGAAGCTCAACCAATCTAAAGACATGCCGAGGTGCCACAGATTCGATGTCTCGTCGGCAAGGAGCTGGGAACCGGTAGCTCGCTTTCAAGCTTGACAGTTATGGGTTCAGCCTTTAGGGTTCACAGCTCATGCCCAAGCGTTCGGGGCCGGGTTCATGGTTTCAAGAGGCGGTGGAGGCAAAACCCCAGCAGAAGATGAGGTCCCGTCACGGAGCGGCTTCGGATCTTACATAGTGAGGTATCGTGCCGCAGGGGATTCATCGTTTCCATGAAAGGCTTGAGGCTCTTGCGACTGTATCCTTCTGGCGCATAAGAGGACCCGGCCGAAAGTATTACAAGCCTTGCGTTGTGACACCAGTTCTTTAATCGGTTTGAGTTGTATTCCTTGCTGAAGAAGGGGTCAGGATGAGAGACTCAGAGTGGGCTGAAGAGCGCGTTTTTCAAGTTTGAACCCTTGACATGAATACATTCTAGGCTTGATGACGACGATGACGACAGGAAGCAGACAACCACCACCAATACAGCCACGACAGCAGTATCATCAAGCCAGCAATTGTTGCTATTGAAATGTCTGGGAAGAGTGGGGTTCATGGACTCCGATCTGCATTCTGCCAAGAGAGACTCCCGAAATCTGCTTGCTTTACCCACCAAGATGCTGGGAGCCGGCTTCAACGGGTGGAGGTGGCGCAGTTTTCTCGTCTTGAGATTCCACCTTGAATGACTAAGGAGTTCGGTCTCACCTGAACAGAATCAAAGCCTAGGTTCAACAAAGAAGGTTTAGGGTTTAGGATCTAAAGCTTGGATGTTTCGGCTGGCCTTCGGCGCGGGTTGTCGGGAGAGCTGAGTAGAAGGTTGTCGCACCCCCACCCCGCGTTTCGGCTTTCGGTTCGTCGCTGCGCCTCGAACGAAAATTGAAAAATCGAAGTACCTTTATGCGTGCCCCTTCAAGGGCCCCTTCAAGACTTTTGCCAGAAAGCACCAAAGCGGAAAGCCGAGCATGTCCTTCTGGGAAGCCTTGTTTCCCCATTCTCAAACCGATTGAAAAACTGTCGGGTTCAGAATGCAGTAGATAAACCCTTTCCTTGCGCAGGCCATGCTGCACCGAATTGGCCGCGGGGAGGTTTTCCGAAGTGACGAGAAGGCTTCGACCTACATTCGCATCATGACTCGTGCAACAGCAGTCAGTAGAGGCAGTAGAAGAAGTAGTAGTAGTAGTAGCAGTAGCAGTCGCAGAAGTAGTAGAAGTAGCAGGAAAAGTAGAAGTAGTAGTGGTAGTAGTAGTAGTCGTCGTCGTCGTCGTCGAATTAATTAGTGGTGGTAGCAGTAGAAGTAGCAGTACCAGCAGCAGGAGTAGTAGCAGTAGTAGTAGTAGTAGTAGTAGCAGTAGTCGTAGTAGTAGTAGTAGTAGTGGTGGTAGTAGTAGTAGTAGTAGTAGTAGTAGTAGTAGGAGTAGTAGGAGTAGTAGTAGTAGTAGTAGTACAGTATATCAGTATATTCTAGATCAGGAGTAGCAGTAGTAGTAGTCGTCGTCGTAGGAGTAGGAGTAGGAGTAGGAGTAGGAGTAGGAGTAGGAGTAGTAGTAGTAGTAATAGTAGTAGTAGTAGTAGTAGTAGTAGTAGTAGTAGTAGTAGTAGTAGTAGTAGTAGTAGTAGTAGTAGTAGTAATAGTAGGAGTAGGAGTAGGAGTTAGGAGTAGCAGTCGCTGTCGCTGTCGCAGCAGCAGTCGCAGCAGTAGTGGTGGTCGCAGTAGTCGCAGTAGTCGCAGTAGTAGTAGTAGTAGTAGTAGTAGTAGTAGTAGTAGTAGTAGTAGTAGTATTAATAGTAGGAGTAGGAGTAGGAGTTAGGAGTAGCAGTCGCTGTCGCTGTCGCAGCAGCAGTCGCAGCAGTAGTGGTGGTCGTAGTAGTCGCAGTAGTAGTAGTAGTAGTAGTAGTAGTAGTAGTAGTAGTAGTAGTAGTAGTAGTAGTAGTAGTAGTAGTAGTAGTAGGAGCAGCAGCAGCAGCAGCGCAAGACTTCAAGCTTGAAAGCTACGGAGTGCGCTTCATCAGGTGACTCAGTCTGATCGTTGGCGGGCCTGCATCGTCGAGCATGGGATATTGTAGCACATTATAGTATATTGTAGTATGTTTTCTCAATCCACTACATATTTCAGTACATTGTAATGCAATTGCCTGCATCCCACATGGACGCCAAGCCTAGGCCTAAACTCGATGGTATCCGAGACGCCCAGAACCTTTGCTCCACACCAGCATGCAGCAGCAACCTCAAGAAGTAGTGTCAAATAGTGTAGCATGATTCATGTACAACCGTGCCATGGCTTTACCAGTATATAGCCTGATAGCACGCGCCCTTTCCTCTCTACTTACTGTCTTTCAATTTCCAGGAGGGCCAGCGCCGATGCTCCGGCTACGTTGCAGGATCGGGCTCCGAAGTTGAGCGGCTCTGTGTCGGGTGTGTTCAGGGTTCGGGGCTCATCTGAGTCTTCTGGAGGTTTCAGGTCGGCTTCGTGGTGAATCTTGGAGTTGATATTAAATGGCTTTCAGGTCTACTTGCAGGTTTGAAGCTCCTCATGGGTGAAAGCGCTGTTGTGGGCGTGGCAGCTGGCGGGTCAGCGTTTTATGCTGACATCATGCCGCCATACAATCGTCAGCTGGTAGATGTAGCATCGATGCTGCATATACCAGTTGTCATTGTCGTGTCGTGTGATGTCATGTCATGTTATGCCAGTCATGCATTTCTCATGAGCCGTCGGAAGCGGATTCTGGATCCAGAGGACTGGAACCGTGCAGTGCGCCAAGCGCTTAGAAAGTGTTGCGAGACTGTGGAGCCTAATCTTTCTTGCATCCCGAAGGTTCGCCGAGAGCTGTTTGCATAGTCCTTCGTGGTACAGCTTTGAGTTTAGGGTCCTGGTCTAATCCCGAAGACCTGTGGGACTATGGTTTGAATTGGTTTGAATGGAGAATAGAGGTGGCCGGATAAGCCAAATTTCGGCCTAGCTAACCTCTTGTTGCCGGACCTAACGAAACATGGGTTAATGCCAGGTATCGCGAGGAAGGACCTCGAAATCGAACCTGCTTTCCGAAGATGTACACAGGGCATCTCAGAACAAGATTGTGCATGCGCCTTAAAGATCTAGTGGTGTATACACCCAAACCCTATTCTGACTCCTTCGGCCTGCACGAACGGACACCTCAGTTGGGCCCCTCCTCCATTCAGAAGCCATCAGCCGAAGGTGCCTTGATCCCTCAACCGTACCTCCTGAACCCGAGGTCTTGAATTAATGGAACCGCACATGGGCCGTGAACCGCGATGAATTCACACATCTTAAAACGGAGCCTGCATGTAACCACTAAGCAATCTGAGACCCGATCCACACAAGTTTCGCGCAACCCGGAGCCCAAGAACAAGCCCCAAATCTTAGAGGTTGAGAACACCTTGTGCCCTTTAGCTCAACTTCTACTAGAGCCCCTGGTTGCAAGCCTCGAATGATGCACTTTCTACATGGTGAACCCATGAACCTGCATAAGATCTTCGGGCTCTCCGTTCAACTCTGCAACAATCTCGTCTACAAACCCCTAAACCCTAAACCCTAAACCCTAAACACTTCCTGAGGTTCCATGATCCTACGACCTTGACGTGGGCAGTCGACCTGCCGGGGAACTTGGCGGGGCTTTTCATCCTGTCTGGACTTTGCATACAAGACGGCAGTATATACATAAAAATATCATGCCATCGTATAGATGACAGTTTCGTGGATTACAGCATAAGACTGTATATTTTATAGTTATATCATAGGTCGTATATGACAGTATCTACTATAGCATAATACAAAGTATATTATAGATATATCATAGTATCGTATATGACACAAGATCGTCAGGTTTGGCAGAACATGATGTTATCGGCGCTTGGCATGCCCGCTGATACGTCTGTCGGACTCCTCCCCTCGACATGTTTGAATGCTTTTGGGAGTTTCCGAAGATAAGGGGTACCGTATTTTGGAGTCCTTATAATGAGGATCCGACCATTTACAGGTAGGGTACTATTTTCGGAAACCCCATGTGAGCCCAGCGGTATGCCTCTTTACCATTTTCAAGAAGTGCAGCAAGTACAGGACCATATTCTGTGCCGAAACCCTATTTGGCCCCATTTTCGAAAACCCCCACTTGACTTGGCGAGGCAAGGGCATTGGAAGGAGATCCAAAGTGAGCTCCAGTCGCAACTCGATGACGACACGGCCCTTCACCTGGAGTCAATGGGGATTTGGCCATGCTTAGTTATCGGTCTTCGGTGTTGTCCGCTGTGTCGGTTACTTCTTCGCCTCTCTACTTCATGTGATCGACGAACCAGTAACTAGTATATCCAAGTCATGAAGTCCGGTCGCCGTGAGCTCCATGCCGGAAACTACCAATCAGTTTGCTTAGCAATGCCCATCGATCTGCTCGCCGAGGTGTGGTTTCCGAGTCTTTCTGCGGCTGGCGGCCCAGTTTGGAAGTTGGGGGCACAAGCTTCTGGGTTGCGGGTTTAGGGGCAGATTCTTGTTGCGAAGTTCTGAACAGGAATCGCGTCAGCGAGCCTTGGACCACCCTGAACTGAACTGGTTACTGCGGTTTGGTCAGCGATTTTAGTCGGACTCCTACTCCTGATGACAAAGGCTTTGACTGAAAGCGGAGAATCAAAGCTAGACTCGACCAGAAAAACCAGAAAAAGAGTCCACCTAAGTATTGATGAGTTCGACACCATCACAGCGTCAAAAGAAGATGCTGTAGCAACGCTAGCGTGGTCATGCCATCGAAACCAATGGCAGCCTGCAGTACCACCCCTGGGCAGGCAGACAAGACAGGTAACGTCCCGGAATGGGGAATTGCAGCCGTGCTGGCTGCTGACTGCTGGGAGGACCCAAAGTGGGAGTACATGGGCTCTTGTCCGGATTGTATTTCTAGCACCACATGGAAAAATCTTTTCTCGCGTGTATGGTTACCAAAAGGAACGGGATGGGTCCTGTGTCTTAGCACATCATGGGCTCGGCACCTTTGCATTGATCCCACGCCTTTCCCTGCATGTCCTGCAGGACAAAGGTTGCTTCCCAAAGACGCAGGAGATAGTGAGGAGGTGGAGATTGCTGTTTCTTGCTTGGGCTTGCTTCGTGCTGCTCGCAGATGGCGTGTACGGACCTCATGCCTCGATCATGCCTCGATGCCAGCAAACAAGACGAGCCCTGCCAAGAGCTGGGTCCTGGTCAGACTGCTCGAAACATACATCCTACGTCTGCAATGGATCAGGTTTGGAGCCATGTCTTAAACCCTCGAGTCCGAGTGTGAATTCGCAAACCCTCAGAGACTTTAAGGGTCGGCTTAGGGTGAGAAGCAGTCTCCTGTCGATCCGAACGATTGTAAACCTCTTGGAAGATTTATAGATGTCCTGCCAGATCTCCCGGACCATCCAAACACGTTTGCCAAAAAGATATGTGCGGCTGGCGATGGATGAGATGGCTACGGTCATATTTGGGTGGCTGTCAAAATTATGGTCCCTTTTGGGGTACCCTAAATATTAGGTAAATATTAGGTGCCGTATTATAATAGGGACCCAAAAAGGGACCTTAATTTTGACAACCACCCATTTGTTGGTTGTGTTCTGTTCTCTTTCTCGATTGATCAGGAGGCCGACGGCTGCTGCTGTTTAAGATGCTACTATACCTGCACGAGTGGTGCTGCCAGTCGTGGTACCCGTCGTCGTCTTCGCTTCAGCTACTTATGTTATCGTGATGATGATGATGACCATGCCCAGGCCAGTGACCAAAAGCCAGCTTGCCGGTTAAGAGTGCATTGGAAGTTGTTTCGCTGGTTTGGCGGATCTGGCGTCGCAGGAGTGTAGGAGTCCGAGTTGAGGCCGTCCCCATAACCCTAAAACCCGAAACCCTTCCGAACCATATGCCTCGCCTGGTTTGTCCGAGTGTGAGCGCCGAAACTCTAAACCATTCGATAAACTCCCGCAGAGCACCTTGGCTCTAGAGACAGAGCTGGGGCGCTCCTCGCGAGGCCCGGGTCCCAGAGGAAGGTGTAGGAAGCTTGTTGCGCTACTAGAGGGGCCTTTCTAATTACCAATGCAACATTTTTGGGGGATTCCTTATTAAAACTATAGTATATTATATCCCAGAACCCAAGTCTAATTATTAAGGCGCCTATATCAGTTTTCGTGAACACTACAGTTCTTACGCCTTAAAGGCTGCAGGTCTCGCAGTTAGTGGAGACATGTAGATGTTTCCGAAAATTAGGGGTACTGACTTTTGGGGTCGTTATACTAAGGATCCTACTATTCAGGCTACTATATCAGGGTCCCCTATTCTCGCAAACTCCCATGTGAATTTTGCATCGCATTGTTACATCGATCCCAAGCCACAGTAAGCCGCCTTTGACATTCATGCACAGAGTTCGGATCTGACGCAAGCTCGAAGTTTGAAGTTCTTCATTCGCTTCGCTTCTAGATTTGCTCGACTTGCATGACAGTAGTCGCGACTGGTTCGCAGTTGCTGTGGTTTTTAGGTGCGAGTCGTCTGCAGGTATGTTGTTCGCCAGAACGAGGAGCAGACTGCAGACCCTAAGTTCCAACAGCCATACCCGAACCCAAAAACCAAGAACCGCAGCCCAAGGCACAACCATTCGAAATCGAGAAGTGTAGCCACTCAGAAAAAGATACAAGGCCATGCAAAATACCATAAGGGGTCGGAACCCCTGTATAGCGACCAAGCCCTTTTAACATCCTTCAATGGTTAAGGCCCATTCAGAAGTACCGGCCCCAGCCCCTGACTCAAGAAACGGCCCCTGTATCCCCTGTATCGCCGACGCTTGAGGCCATGGCCCAGATCCCCCCTGGACCAGAGTCGCGAGGGGAACAGGATGGGCCACTATGGCTTGCTATCAAGTCAGTGAACCCAGCTTCCGGGGTTTTGTGTGGTGAATCATTGAAGGTTCGGGTAGTACAGAGTTTAGGGTTCAGTGAGTAGGGTCGAGGGTATGGTGTACGGTATAGAGTTTCGGATTAGTTGGGTTCTCAAAAAGGCTGCCGTATAGGGTTTTGAACGGGGCTGCTGGACAACGAGGCCTGCTGCAAAAAAGGGTTAACGGTACAGGGTTCGGCCAGAGCCCCACAAGTCTACGGGCACTGACTAGAAACACATGCGCAAGACTTGGACCCTAGGTCCAAAGCCGCTCGTACAGGTACACAATCTAAGGGAAGTAAACTAGAGCAGTTGCATCTGAACTCCGACTCCTGAGATCCTCGCTTGTTTAGCACCTCGTTACACCGAAACAGCCTAAACTAACCTTAGCACCGCACTTTTCTGCGAAGCTGCCTACAGTGCGCCTGACTCCTGAGTTGATCCTACATCGCACATGTCTCTGTGTCGTGCCGCCGTGCTCCTGAGGCGTCAACTCTATAAACCGGAGGTGATGCTCATCAAGAGACTAGTCGGCCACCAGCTGATCCAGCAGAATAAGCCCAGCGCTTACAACGCTTGCAGCAATATTAGGCACAGACTGAATGCACAAGACTCCTTCGTGTTGCAGGTTGATGTGGGACGAAATCTGGTCCCTGCGACACATGCTGGATGAGTTTCGCAATCGGTTCTTCAACTGCACATATGACATAGGTTTTCGAGATTGCAGTGAAACAGGAGAATGTGTAATCTTGCAGATTCTTGCGGATCACCACGACGCCCTGAGCCGTAAATGTTTACGCAGAACCCTACATTCCCCTGCAAGCTGCGCTGGAATGCTCAACCCTACGCCTTTCGCTCTACACCATGGCAGGAATGACCAAATCTCCGAAGGGAGAAGGCAGCAGACCGACTTCTGCGACACGCAGCGCCCTGGATGTGCTTCAGAAGCGTGGTCTTCGTCACCAAGACCACATGACATCCGAATCCCAAAAGCCCAAGAAGACAGAAGCCACAAGTTTGACAATCTCTATCGTATCATGTTGCTAGTCACGACAATGGTGATGACGTCAGCATTGATGACAGTAGCCATGTCGCGGAGGAGGTGATTGTGATTTGGATGGTCGCAGCGGTGGTGGTGGTGGTGGTGGTGGTGGTGGTGGTGGTGGTGGTGGTGGTGGTGGTGGTGGTGGTGCTGCTGCTGCTGCTGCTGCTGCTGCTGCTGCTGCTGCTGCTGCGGCTATGGCGACCGTGCTGATGATGAAGGTGTTGATTTTGGTCGTAATTATGACGGCGACGAGGACACCACCGCGACCATCATCACCACCATCAGTATCTTCTAAGTCGGAGTGATGGCGGTTGTGATGTCGACACCATGGCAACAGTGGAGGTCGGTGAAAATGGCAAAGGAGATGACAGTGATGATATATATATATATATATACATATACAGAATAGTGATGGTGGCTGCTGCTGGTTTTGCCTCCCTACCCTCAACCGTTCTTCTCAGCCCTCAGCCTTTGACCTAAAACTTGAAACCGCCTTCCAAGGCACCGAGATCTTCTGCGACGGCAAGCGCAGATGATTCTGGAAGACCTCCGCAGCCAAGCGAACGCTTGTGGTCACGCAGTGGAGGACGTAACTGAACCCGTCCCTTGTTGTGTCTCAGATCCGGCAAGAAACCACCATTTGTTGAAGTGAGGTTCGCATCAGCAACAAGGAAGCAGCTGTCGCAACATGAATAAGACTTGACGAAGGACTGAGTAATCGCAAGAAGCACTGCCGCTTTCGTCGTGTTAGCAGTCATGAGAACGCAGTCTCAGATAAGGACTAGAGTATCTAAGTACTATGCTGGTGCAAATACATATTCTGTTACGAAGACTCATACTGATTGCAGTCTTGCTACTCAGACTGATTGGCACTAGTTCTAGTCCTCAAATCGGACAGACGAGACTGCGCTATACTATACTAGGCCACTAGGCTAAGACTAGACTCTACGATACCAGACGAGATACCATGCTAGGCTGGATTGACTATACTGTAGGCCATGCTACACAAACTCCGTCATGGAGGACATGGTCCCCGAGTTGCGCAATGGCCAGCTTCGGAGTTTCGTCCTGCAGGAGGACGGGGTGATGCGTGGTCTAAGTGCAGCTCCTTTGTAGTCCCAATGTATAACGAGACTGTGACCCCCGAAAGCCAGATTCTCTTGATTAAGACCCCTGAAGTAGATTTGCATCCTAGTTGTTACGATCCCCTGTAATTTGAACACAGGTGCGGAGTCGGTCACCGGTCGGACGGCTTCGATTCGAACGTCCCTAATCTAGCATCTTTGTCGGTCACCGCCTTCAGTCTAGATGCATCGACTAAGGGCTGCACTGCAATCGCCAGTGCAGCCACGCACTACACCATATATGGTATCACCCCTATAGCCAACAGACCCTCTACGAATGTACCTTTCCCTGCATTCAATCATACTAGAGTCTTTCCCGAGTAGTTCTTCTATTCGCGACAGTGTGATGGCCATATCTGCTAGACCAGCCCCTCCGCCGCAGGATGCTGGCTATGGGAAGGTGCTTCTGCAGTCAGATCTCTGGGGCTTTGGGTTGTTTGAGAGTTTGAGCGTCTGGAGTTTTATCACCCGGCACAGATCAGTCGAAGCTTCGCTTGAGGACCTGGGTTCTATGGAATGTACAGTAGGTCAGTAGGTCGTATGGAAGATGGAACCCTCAACCCACTTGGACTACTCCCTTAGTGCAGTCTCACATATCAGACTCCAAACCATATGCGTCGCCTGGATTGTCCGAGTGTGAGCACCGAAACCGGAACACGGAAGATGAAAACGAAGACTGGTAATGTCCCGGCGATGGTGAGGCCAGGGATGCTGTACCACCGGCAACTCCATCGACGAGACCCTCCACTGCCAGCACGCGACTGGTTGCCTTTTCGTAAAGAATTTTTCTCGTGCCAGGGATCGACTGCATTCAGGAAAATGTGTAAAGATGAGGGAACATCACGAAAATGACTCCGAAACGGCCCAGGCGCCTCTCTTGCAGTACACCCGATCTGCTGCAGAACTTGGCGACGCTCCCCTCCCTGCACATGGGACAGCCACTAGGGCTCGATGACATTGACGAGGTTGCCGCCGGGATTCGAGAGAGCCTCGAGGCAGAGCACCAATGGCTATTGGCGACCATCGCTGAGGAGTATCAGCAGCTGGAGTTGGAGGACCAACGTCGTGCGAACCTGGCCCGCTCCGACTGCGAGCCCTCCACGGCGCAGCTGAAGCGCTTCCTTGGCCGCTTGCAGGACGTCCAGGCATCTCCAGGCCTCAAGGCGCTCGCGCTGAGCAGCAGCTTGGGGGAGTCCGCGCCTGCGGCGCCTGCGCCGGTGGCGGGCGGTGCAAGCGTCCGGCGCTTGCAGGCCCTCATCAGCCTTCGGCGTCAGAATGCCTCCCAAGCTCTGAAGCCCGTGCAGGAGGCCGAGCAAGATGCCCAGACAGCGAAGGGAACAAAGGGCGCTGGATACCAAGCGCCCGGGTTTATGTCTGGCATCACCTTGAGCTTGGGGCCCGGCAAGCAGGAGTTCGATCCCTTCTTCGGCGACCCTATATAGGAAGTGTCCAGCTTTAGGCAGGACCCTTCTTTTCCTCTCTGGTGCGGTGCATCTCTAGGATGCAGCGCAGTGCTGAGAGCATTTTGGTAGCATGTTGGAGGTTGGTGAATGCAACCGGCCTTTTAGAAAAGTGTTATGGCTCCGAATTTAGCAGTTGACTGACGATGCACCGATCAGCGCAAGCACCCTATGCATGGCTGAGGTTTTAGCCACTGAGCTAGATGTCATCAAGCTTCGGGCATTCGCAGGTCAGACAGCACATCCCGTTGATGGCACGAAGTGTCTTGTACAGCTGGCTCGGCGTGTGGATTGCGGCTGTAAGCGTTTCACCTACTGCTTGGACTGCCAGAGGCGACATTCAGTGAGAGAGAAGTTCGCAGCTCGACCCCATGTTGCTATTCAGGCAGCCGTATTTCCGTAGTTAGCCCTCAGTTCCCAATCTGCCCTTGCATGCCAGGTTGGAAGGTCTACTTCCGTTTGAAGTTTTCTTTGCTCAATTGCGGGCCTGGCTGGTTTTGATCTCCCAGCATCTGCCAGAGGATTCTGAGAATGTGTGAGCCCAGTGGTATGCTTGTTAACCATGTTCCACAAGTGCAGGACCATATTCTGTGCCTTTGGCCCATGGTGCGGATAGACTGATGACTGGATGGCTGGCTGGACGGATGGAGTGCAATGCAATGCAGTGCAGCACGCCGGTGGGCAGATTCACCGCTTCTGAAAATGCGCAATGATGGGATGATGTTGTTCTAAATTGGAGGTCTCTTGCTTGAGCCTCCACAGGCCTCCGCAGGCTGGCGCGCCCATGCAGCCCCATGCCCCATGCATACATGTACATGTGCCTGCAGCAACGGCCGGTGAAAGAGAGGGAGACAGACAGATTGTTGAGGCCGTGAGCTGATCAGTTATTTTTCAACATGCTCGACATATTGTGCATTCTTAGTTTCCTTGCTTGCTTGCCGGCATGCTTACTGGTTTACTAAGTTTACTAGTTTACTTGCATTCATGCCTGCTTTACTTGTTTTATTTTCCTACCTAGTTTCGTTTACGTACACCGCAAGACGCAACTGCCAGGCCACCCCGCACAAAGATTGCGCCCCATTCGGACAATCTGAACTATGCAGCGGGCCTAAGCAGATGCAGCTGGACTCGCCCATCTGCCAAGACAGCTCCACTTAGACCCAGCTTGACTTTGCTTATTCACATACTGTAGCAGACTAGAAGCTGAAGACAAGAGGCCTCGAAGCTGTGACGAAGGACATCTGGAATAAAGGCTTGAGATTGGAGGCAGGGCTGGATCTTTATCGGGGTGGTCGCATCTCTGACCGCGTGAAGTCTTGAAAGAAATCGGGAACTCGCTGTAGCAGGGCCCTTCGCGTCCCACAGGATCGCGCTGGTCCCACAGGATGGACCCTGCTCATATGCCCGCGGCAAGAAACAAAACAGCAAACTAAGCGAAGCTGGTTCGCAGTCAGCCGACTGTGTGGAGTATGCCACTGCACCACAGAAGCTGCGACAGCCGCACTACTTTGATGTTGGCCCTCGTTTTCCTTCCCCCAAACTTGAACACACAAGTGGTGGGATGGCTCCCGAAAGCCGGCCAATACAATAGCTCGGAGCGTCCAACCTCGCACCTGCACGCACCATTGAGTTCGGCATCAAGTCTTGAAGCCGGAAACGTCCTATGCAGTTCCCCATAAAATCAACAGCCCTTGAAACCCAAGTCTATCAAAAAAGCTCTCACGCCCAAAGCAAGAATATGGTTAAGCCATCGCAAAGCCCTCCCACTGAGATCCTCACCTTACACCTGGCTCTGCAGCTTGTTCCTCAGAGTGACGAGCACCGCGACCGCGTCGGTGGCCGGAACTAGGGTTCTGCTTGTGGATCTTTGTCATGGTCCTCGGTGGCTGGAAGCGCCAAGTAAACCCCGAGAGTGGCTAGGACAGCGATGGCATGCAGGTAGTCATCAGCCTACATGGGCCTGGTGGGCCTGGGTTTGTGTGTTCAAAAACCGAGACTCAGGAAGGCTCCAACCTCCTCCCGAAACTCAGGGCTTTAAGCCAGCATCGACTGCGACCTCGATGGCACACCCAGGTCGCTTCGCTGCCTCGCACAGCCATAAATGCCGTAGCACAGTGATTGAGTGGTGCAGCCTGGTTACGGCAAACTTGCAGGTGAATAGCCTTGAAGCTGTGCTGCTATACTTGCTCTTATTGGTAAAATCATTCTGCATGTGGAAGGCAGCTCCTCTGTGAACCAACTAGCCCCCATAGTCTTGCCGACCCTTCGTTGCTGAATAGGGTGGCGCCATCTCGAAGGAGCTGGTGTGCAGTTCACCCCTTGAGGCTTCATTTTAATGTTTTCCGGACGCACCCTGGATGGGGTCTAGGCTGTGCGGGCTGTGGTGGAGTTCCCACAACAACTTACATTGTGATTCTTGGAGCAAAGCTTGCTGCCTACGCCTGTCTGCTAAACCCCTCGCCCGAGCAATCCGAAGCGGCCTAAACCAGGTGTACTTACTTAGTAGAGCCGCCTTTCCGTTCCGGCCTCCAACAAACTATACTAATGATATATCGTATATACTAATACACTCTTAAACTAACTCTCTCTCTCTCTCTCTGAATATATATATATATATATGTATAGATGTATATCACTATCACATCTATATATATATATATATATATATATACACATAGAGAGAGAGAGAGAGTAAAGATATGCATATTTAGATATTCTATTATGTCCCCTGAGCACCGAGGTTGGAGCCCGGTGGCTGCTCCTTGCAAGTAGGCGCCGCTTGAGTCACCCTTGATGCTCTCGCAGTTCTGCCTTGTAGAAGGGTCTGGGGTTAACCTGAAACTGAGCACCACTGGGCACGATGGTCATGATGATAAAATCATGTGGATGGTGACGACGATGATGATTGTTCCTCGATTCTATGCAGTTCTGCCTCCTCCTTCGCGGTGACGACGAAGACGGTGATGATGATTCTGTACTGCTGCAGTGGTTCTGGGTTTTGGTCAGAGGCATGCAACTGACAGGTAGCCTTTGCCACAATACAAAATAACATACCACATGTACATATGATAATGGTTCTGAGAGTGGGCATTGGTAGCATATGGGGGGTTCCTTATTACAATTCTAGTACAGTGGCCCCAAGAAGCCAATTCCAACAGTTAAGGCCCCTATCTTACTGTCTTGATCCTCCAGCAGCTGGCCAGCAACGTTCGGAAAACCCGAGGGCGGAAGCACCATACAGGGCTGTTGAAAAGTAGAATAAGGTTTTGGCGCATAGTCCAGTACAGATATGATTGAAGAAGCCCAAGGAATGGTGTTTTTTTAATTTCAGGCCATATGTTGTCGCTCAAAGAATGCTACTGGCCTGATGTACAACGCTGCAGCAGCCTCGTCGAACAAAAAGTACACAACATATGCAAGAGCTCCGATGGTAGTGTATCCCAAACCCTGAACACTAAACTCTCATACCTGGCTCTACCTACTAGGTATTCCGACTGTCGCAGGGAGGAAAAGGGCCCTCAAAAAAAACAACTCTGAACAGTAGCCCAGTTCATGCCTGAGCAGGCCATCGAACGCGACAATGGGAGGAGGGAGAGGCCGGGATGTCAGAAAGCCCTGGCCACGGTTTGGTTTAGGGTTTATTGGGGACCGATTGCAGTTGACGGCTAGAGCGCAATTCTTGTGGCTTGGTGTTGTGTAGGATCTTGACCGATTCAGGTCCTTGTCTTCGACGCCACCTTTACCAATTCAGCGTGGAGCTTGGGACCGCTCATGCCCGGAAACTCCTTCTCACAGCGACTATCTTCACACTCATTCTGAAGCGGACACATCCTTCCAGCTGCAGGCAGCCAACGAGTCCGATCAGAGCCTCTACGCTTTGGCCGCATTCTCGTGGGCGCAGATGTGTTTTGCATTCAATCGACGTCTGTAGTAGCCCGTGCCCGGCTTCAAGGTACCCAAACGTTTGAAGTAGTATAGGCAGGCGCCTAAATAATTAGCAATACTATTTTGGGGGTTCCTCAATAATGGGCCCCAAAACCCTACTCTCATTAAGGCGCTTCCGCTGCCCTGAGCCTGTTGGTATCTGAATAGATCATCCGACAAAGCTGGAGTGGTACGAAGAAAGGATTAGATTAGCATGAGCGAGGACGACCCGCACGAATCGAGAGTCGAACGCCTGTGGGTAGGTAGTTGAGTTATGAGGGCCCCTATGCCAGATGATCAATTCTTGTAAAGAACCGTAACAGAAACCGCTCTCCATCCACTGGCATCCAAAGAACCCAACAAGTGCAGACCCCTATTCTCTCTTTTTGAGGGGTCCTAAACCCAAGGTCGCAGAGTGGGGCCCGGGGTTGATTTCAACCCAAAGCCCGAAACCTTCGGGCCTCGCCCTTGCTAAGTAGGAGGGGAAAACCCTCAGCCCTAAACGGCTCTAGCTGTCCTGGCGTGTTTTGCCTTTCGTGACCTTCTGAAGTTTAAAAACTACACCCTTGAGGTCGTGCGCTTTTGGCACCCTGGGCTCTGCGGCGAGGACTCTTCAAACATCTTCAAGAAATTTTAAGAGATTTTAGATTTATTCTTCTCCTTTTTGTGTGATGTTCAGGTAAATTTGGTTTATTCTGTTGTGTGTTTTGTTATAAGCCGTGTCGTGCATCTTGTATACACGCGCGTGCGCTGGAACTGGTTGGCCCCTTGTGCACGCACGCGTACTCTGAGCGCATCTGAGCGCTGACATGCGTGCTTTAGTCAAGTCAAGCATGGGATGCGTCGACACAAGTCTGTCGCGCTCTTTGCGTGTAGGACAGAGTGATGATCGCTCATCGTGCGCTTGAGCTGGTTGGCAATACATGCTCGAATGTGTCGTTGTCATTCCGAGCGCTCACCATGCGTGTCTCGGTCAAGTCAAGCGCGAGAAGATGCTCGACAACGTCACGCATCTGTACGACGTGTGCGTGTGTGTGTGTGTGTGTCAGCACAGCATA